ATGCTTGGGGAGTGAACCACCAGATGGAAGATCTTCCTCTCTGTCTCTCCTCCTCTGTATGTCTGTCTTTCCAATAAAAATAAATAAATCTTTAAAAAAAAAAAAAACAGACCAGAGCAGCCATAGCTGGGTGAGTGGGTCACTTCTCTGAGTGACTTCCCGGGAGATACTGGCAGGCACCTGGCCCCAGTCCTGCCCCAGGCAGCCCCCGCCCCTCCACAGGTAGGGATATAGAACCAGAGGTGTGACGTGTGATGTGTGACAGCTGCTTATGGCTTGTCACGCATCATTTCCCTACTGCCTTATTAAGTGGATTTAGGAGCCAAGGTGGAGTCTGGGCAAGGGCCATGTCATGGTGGGCACGGCCTCAGCAGGAAGGAGATCTCCCTCTCTGCATTTCTTTGTCTCCATTCTAAGCCTCTGCCTCTCTAGGCATCAAATGGGTCACCTGGGACCACCACAAGTCCCTCCAGGAACTTGGAGCTCCTGCAACTTCTGTCTCAGAGCTGCAGGCCCTGTCATGGAGACCCTAACCTCCAAACGACTCTGACCTGGTATGACGCTCCCGCTTTGTGGAGTGACTCTGGCCCCAGAAACAGCTGACAGCCCGTGTGTCTAAATGAACCTCTACTGTGGTCTTCCTAGCCACCTCCCTCCAACCCCACCCCCTGCTTACCCAGATCCGAGTTTCTGAAGGCTTTCTAAGGACCCTCACACCATCCCCAGATCCTCACTTTGAAATGAAGCATGCTCCCTGCAATGGTCTGGAGGTCAGGGAACGTGTAGCATAGTGGTTGAGTTGCCGCTCAACACAAGGGCGTTCCATACTGCAGTGACAGAGCCCCCTGGCTACTCGGCTTCCAATCCGGCTCCCTGCCAGTGTGCACTCAAGAGCAGCAAACGGCAGCTCCACAAACTTGCCACCTGCATGGGAGACCTGGATGGAGTTCCCAGCTCCAGCTTTCCTCTGGGCATTTTGGGTGTTTGTGGAATGAACTAACTGTGACAGTTCTCTTTTTCTATCTCTTTCTCCACCTCACCCTGTCTCATCCTTCTCTCAAATAAACAAATAGAGAAGAAGATTCTCTAAGATGTCTAAGAATGATCAGCTCCCCACCCCAGGCTCCCAGGTGAGTCACCCCTAGCAGACAGAGCTCCTTACTCCTCCAAAGACACCTAATAAACCTCTACTGCCTTGAAACAATGTTTGTTCTAAAGGGAGAGCAAGAGAGAGAGAGAAACTGCACTCGACCCCAAGAACGAGATGAGATGTGGGGGTCCCAAGGGACAGCTGACCCTGTTACCCTGATGTGTCCCAACCCCTGCCCCCAATGCTCTTGCTTCTGCAGAGGTTCTGGCATCCCTCAACATTGAGAAAAGGGACACAGCAGCCCAGACACCCTGGCATTTGTTGTTCTTCAAATCTGCTGCTTTGGGGGCTTAGGGGTGCTTCCCACAGGATTCGTTTCCTGGCCAGCTGACTCCAGCTCACCCATCCAGCCTGCAAATATCCCCAAGCACCTGCTCTGTTCCAGCTCATGGCAGGCACCAAGTCACCAGGTCACTGATCTTGAAGCCCCATCAGCAATGAGGAGCAAAGGGAAAGAGGGTGCTATTCGCAGAAGGACCTGGGAAGCACCCAGAGAGGGTGCTCCCCCAGCCAGGTGCCCAGCTCCCACGGGGAAGCCTTCCTGAAGGAAATGAATTTGCGTAGAACTCTGGAAAAGCGAACTAGGGTCAGACGGGAAGGAGGGTAGGTGCAGTCCATGCCAGGCTCAGGGGGTAAAGCGAAGGGTTCAGGGACATTTATCTGGGGCCCTTCCTGGCAACCAGAGCCAAAGAGAACCAGCGAGGCAGATCTGTAAGCTGATGAGGGCAGCTGCTGCCCACACAGCCACGAGCAGGGTACAGCATACACAAGGGTGCTTTTAGCACTCAGAATGCATTCCATTCCTCCAACCATCACATTTTTTAAAATCTATTTATTTATTAGGAAGTCAGAGTGAGAAAGAGAGAAAGAAACAAAGAGATCCATTTTCTATCAGCTCATTCACTCTGTAAATGACCACAACAGCCAGGGCTGAGCTAGACCAAAGTCAGATGCCTTGAACTTCACCCCATGTGAGTACAGGAGCCATCTGCTGCTTTCCCAACTGCATCAGCAGGGAGCTGGATTGGAAGCAGAGCAGCTGGAGCTTGAGCTGGTATTTTACTATGTGGTGATAGCCCTCAGAAGGCTTAACCCAATGCACCATAGCTCCAGCCCAGTGGTCACATTCTAGAGAACAGAGAAGGAGGTTGTTCAAGCACTTCCACCCATGATGGCAGCTTCTCTGTGAGTGCCTCCAGCACCAAGCCACAGTGTCCTGGTGACAGCTGCTTTCTTCCATCAAGAAAAAGCCACCAGGCCCGGCACAGTAGCCTAGTCACTAAATCCTCACCTTGCATACACTGGGAACCCATATGGGCACCAGTTTGTTTCCTAGCTGCTCCACTTCCCATCTGGCTCCCTGCTTGTGGCCTGGGAAAGCAGTAGAGGACGGCCCAAAGCCTTGGGACCTGCACCCATGTGGGAAATCTGGAAGAAGCTCTTGGATCCTGGCTTCAGATGGGCTCAGCTCCCGCCATTGCGGCCACTTGTGGAGTGAACAAACAGAAAATCTGTATCTTCTTCTCTCTGTGTATCTGCCTTTCCAATTTAAAAAAAATGAAAACAAGAAAAAGCCCCTGCCTTGGTGTTCACTCCCTCATCTTCCTTGGTTTTCCTGTGGGGAGGGAGGAACACAAATGCCCCAAGGATTTGAACTTGGTGCCCCTGACTCCTCTCCATGCTAGCCAGACCCTCTGCTCTCCAGTCTTGAGCGTACATTGTGGCTGAAGAATTCCACTGGGCCATACCCCGGTGGGAGGTGCCAACCACAAGCTCTGCCAGGAGTTTCAGAGTGAGATGGCTATGAGCTAGAATCTTCCAGAATGGGCATCCTGCAGGAGGAGAATCCATGCCAGCAGACTCTACCAGGAGAGGAGAAGATACTGCAGCAGCAGGCCTCGGGCCAGCAGGGGCACTCGGTAATGCCTGTTTCACTCAGTTACCTTACTGCTCCCTCAGCTAAATTGATATACTTCCTACAAAACTTGCAAAGATGCAGGTGAGTGAAAGGAAGAAAAGAAAAAGGTCCCCTTCACTGCACTGCTGTGCTGGGGTAACTCCAGGACTGGCTCCACACGACTCCTTCACAATTTGTCTCCCTGCAGGAGTGACCGCGGCGGGGGTGAGGAGGAGGTTGTGTTCCCACCCTGCCTCCCTTGGGACCACATACAGGGAACCCTGTCCCTTGGGACCATGTACAGGGAACCCTGTCCCTTGGGACCCTGTACAAGGAGCCCTGTCCCTTGGGACCATGTACAGGGAACCCTGTCCCAGCTACAGGCCATTGTTTTGCAGTATTGCTTTGAATGGTTGTGTCTGTCTTGCTTTGTGAGGATGTATCCTACTGCATTTAACCAGACCCATGGTTCTAGACACAGGGCAACTCTCATTTTCTTTGACACTAATAGAAGGAATTGGAACGTCTCCAAGTTCCTTCATAGCACCTACATCTTCCTATACAACTCTAGGCTGCACCCCTCTGCCAACTGCAGTATGTTTGTCTCTTCTAGCAGGTGCCTTGGTCCCCTGCTCAGAGGATCCCTAGCAATGGTATTCCTACTCTCCCAGCTCCAATGGACTCAAGGGCTTGTCCTCTGACCCAGCCTGTCATCTTGTTCCAGAGCAGCCTCCTCTCCCTAGCGGGTCCCTTCCTGCCAGTTTGTAACTGGTTCTTCCAGCTGGAGGGGCCCCTCCCACCTCATCCCTAACAGCATCGAGGACTTCAGATTCCTCACAGTCTGTTGAGAAGCACAAAGTCTCAAGGGACTCTCAGGAGATGGTTGTCCAACCCATGGCTGAGCTAGGGACACGCTTAGGGTTGGGCGACAGCCAGAGGCTGACCCCAGCAGGAAGCTGTCCCAGCCCAAAGAGCAGACAGAAAAGGGAGATGCCTTCAACAGAGCCCAGAGCCTGCTGGGAAAGGGGCAAGGCATTGTCCAGGGAGGCTGGAGTCCCAGAGGAGACCCAGCCACTGTTGGAGATGCCACCTAAAGCCAAGATAGGGAACGGTGGAGGGTGAACCCTAACTTCTCCATCCCAAGTTTGCCAGGAACCCTCCAGGACCTGCCCTGAAAGCAGCTGGCAAAGAAATCTGGGAAATGTAGTTTCCTGAAGAGACAAGCCCACAGCAACCCAATTGAGATCAGCATCTTTCTAGCTCTTTGCAGATTCCAGACCCAAAAGCCCAGCTGCTACTGTGTGGGCCTCCTCACCTCCATCAGCCTCTCTCAGGGAGAAAAACTTCCCCAAGCTTGTGCCCAGGTTCACGGTCCAGCCTGGGATGCCTTCCTTGCTGGAAAGCATGAGTGTCCTCAGACACAGAGCTGAGGACTAAGTCAAAGAGTCAAGGCATTTCCTTTGCTGCAAGGAACATTCTGGAATCCGCACCCCGCCCCCCCCCTTGGTTTCCTTGTCCTGATATTCTCCTGAGGGCAAATCCTCTGTTGAGTAGAATGACAGAGCTACGAGATGCACAGCTGCTCTCTGATCAGCTTGTATAGGGCACACTCCCGTGGCTTCTGTGCCTCTCAGCTCCCTGCAGAGTCCAAGAAGAGCCTTAGGATGAATGAGCCACCAGACCAGACCGACAGGCCGGCCCATCACCCGGCTGCTTCCTGCACGTCAGAAGGAAACTCCCTTGGCTCCCGCCCAGGACCTGAGATTCCAGAGCATACACCAGGCACCTTTGCACCCCTGCTCTTCACTGGCGCAGGCCCTGCCCCTTGGCTTTCCCCGCCCTGTGCCCGGGAGGAGCCAGCTTCCCCAGACTGGTGGCAGGTTGCCCCAGCCCGCCCTCTGTGCGCCGCCCAGAGTGGAGGAGCCCAGCAGGGGCCTCGGGCCGGGACCCCCGATGAGGGCGCTGCTGACTTTCTTGACGATGGGATCCCTGGCTGGTGAGTGTCCTCCCCCCCCCCCCCCGCCCCGACCCCATCCAGTGGTCAATGGCCCAGGGCGCAGGGTCACCTCCTGATCTTCTACCACCTAGCCCCAGCACCATCAGTTCAGTTTCAGTTTCCTCTCTGAACTGGGTGCTGGGTTCTCCTGCAGAAGCAGATGTCCAGCGCGGGGGTCCAGCGCAGGGTCACATCAGCTGCAGCAGCCCGGTGGGTGGAGAATCAGCCTGCAGAAGGTGACATCTTGATCCCTGAGACCATTCTGGAAGAAAGGGTCCCATAGCTGCCTATGCTTGTGTCTGGGGTTGGGGGACACAGAGAGATGGGACAGGTGACCCTAGCTCAGACACTCCCCGCAGTGGGGGGTTCCTTCCAGTGCCTCTGACTAGATCTGAAAGGGCCTTCCCCCCCGCCCACCCCCGAGGTGAGCAAGTCTCAAGAACTCCTATTCTCCTGCAGCTTTCTCAGCGGGTCACATGTAGCCCCAACCCACCGCAGACCCCCGCCCACCTTAACGGCTGGGAATCCAGCACCCGCAAGCCCCTCCTTGCTCAAGTGCAGGGTGAGCACCAGAGAGAGACTGAGCATTCTCCCTGGGCAAGGGCTGGCGGGACCCCGTGCTTTCAGCTCTGTCCTGGGCACTCTGCTCCAATTTATCAGGCACAGCTCCCCACCCCAACACCCCCACCCCACCCCACTCTGCCATCAGGAACAGCTGTGACAGGCTAGGGAGCTGCAGTCCCTCCCTCAGGGATTCCCAGACCTGCTCCCTTAGACAGACCCCACCCCCTGCCCCAGTTCTGGCAAGAAGTTATGGGTCCCTGTGGACTCAGGCCCCTCACTGGCTCTTGGGTTGACTCCTCAGCACATGGAGCGGGTTTTGGTCTGCGTGCTTTTCCATAGCCTCCCAGCCGCCTGGCATGTGTGTTTTCCCACAACCCTGAGGGAAGCTGTCAGGCTCCAGGCCCTGCACAGCACAGGCCTGCCTGATTTCACAACACAGACTTTCACCCAGGAAGTATGGGGAAGACTCGCGCCGGGGAACAGGGAGCGCAGCTGCAGAAGGCAGGCGGGAAGGAGAGACCCTGCTATGCCTCCCTGCCCCCTAAGAGAGGGCACCTGGCCGTGGCCTGCCCTTCCTGCTCTAGGAAGCCAAAGACACTTCCCTTATAAAAGTGATGCCAAGCTCTGGCCAACTAGCCCAGGGATTAGCCTGGTCTTCATGCCCCGACCTCAGCCACCAGCCTTCCCCAAGCCAGCCTCTAGGACCCCTACCCTCTGCGGCCTCTGACACGTTGTTCAGATCTGACTCCACTGAACTCCCTTCCTCAGCTTCAGACCTAGCCTGAACCCAGGACTTCTTCCCCTAAAACAGACCCAGTCACCCGGTTCCACCCACACCTGGGTCTGGATGGTGTGTCAGCCCCATCTCAGGATTTAGTTGCTGTGTAGAGGCAGAAATACCCAGTGTGCTGTCCCCCAAGGACCCACTCTGCAGGCCCAGGGAAGCCTGGGAGACAGACCACCCAGGGTCAGGAAGAGAGTGCTCTTTGGCGTAGACAGCAGGTATGCAGCAGGGGTAGGCTGATCTACTGTCCTTCGCCAACCCCACAGGGGTCTCCCATGGCCTCCAGATCCCTCCTATATGTAGGCTTGGAGCCAGGAGAATAAATGATTATCCACTGATTCAGCCCTGGATCTCCTCATGGTCACGATCAGACCCAGCAGGGGGGAGGGAAGAGAGGAGGCCAAACCTGGCAAGCACACAAGCACACAGAGCCTTAAGGCCTTGACTCCTCTGGGCTGCACCTGCCTCGCTCCCAGCCAGCCAGCCAGTCCTTCTGAGCTGGCTGCTGCTTCCCTGCTCCCTCTTCCTCTCCACCGACTAAGTTTGGCAGCTGGGAAGATTGGTACAGAGGTAGTGGTTCCCTCCCCAGGCTCCTCCTCAAGCCCGGACCTCAGCTGCTCTTTGCCATTGGCAGGCCAGAAGTCGGGCAGTGGCATAGGGCAACAGGTGTAGCCTCTTTTGGAACAAGCTTCATCCCTCCTCTCTCCTCCCAGCCTCCCTAAACAGGTCTCTCTGCCAGGAGCTCCAGTGACAGAAGCTCCTCACCCCCATAACAAAGGGTGACTGAGACATCCTCCCCCTGGCTCCCCCAGGTCCCTGCTTTCAGACCACACACACACACACACACCCTATCCCACACCAGCTGCGTTGACAGATGCTGTAGGCCCTGTCACATTGTGCTAATGACAGTGCCCTCTGAGCCTCTATGTTCTCATCCATGAAGTGGGATCGTGGGAGGATCCACCTTACCAGGGCACCACAGGACCAGGTGAAGTGAGAGACTTAGCCCAGGACCTGGCATGCAGCATGCACTTCACACAGGTTGGCTGCTATGGTTACTACTTGTCTTTAAGTACTTCGAATTAGTTCCAGGGCAGAAAACTGAGGCTCTGATCACTTTAACAATCTGCCCCACCCCTGCCCGTCACAGCCTCTGTCTATTAAGTCTGGAGCTGTGGACGTGCTTTTGGCATCTAAGAAGTCAGCGTGGCAGATGACTGGCATGGCTGGGAGGGACCACTGTAAGCCACCAGCACTTCGTCTGCCACAGCTACCGAAAAGGCAGCTCTTGGCAACTTCAGCTGGAGTGTTTCCACACTGGTGATGAAGGCACCAGGTTCAGGGGCTGTTCAAAAGTGAATGAGAAGCAGGAGTAGGGTGCATTAAGACTCTAACCAAGGCACCCTGTGTCCCATGTAAGGGTGCCAACACCTGACTCCGCTCCGACTCCAGCTTCCTACTGATGCCAACTCTGGGAGGCACAGATGATGGAGCTGGGCTGCATTCCTGCCACTCCCACGAGGGGATCAGATTGAGCTCCTGGCTCCCAGCTTTGGCCATTGCAGGCATTCCTGGAGTGAACTAACACCTAGGAGTATTCCGTCTGCTTTCTCTCTCTCATCTCTCTCTGCATAAAATATTACTTAACAATTTTTAAAACTTAAAAAACAAAAAGAGGTATCCATGGAAATGGAGGCTCTGGAAAATGACCCCTTTAAAAAAATCCCTGATATTTCTTGGCATATTCTTTTTTTAAAAAGATTTGTTATATTTATTTGACAGAGTTACAGGGGCTGGTGTGATGGCTCCAATCCTCCACCTTGGCCAATCCTCCACCTCCAAGCACCAGCATCTCATACGGGTACTCACCTGTGTCCTGGCTGCTCCACTTCTAATTCAGCTCCCTGCTTATGGCCTGGGAAAGCAGTGGTGGATGATGCTTGAGACCCTGCACCCACATGGGAGACTAAGGAGAAGCTCCTGGCTCCTGGCTTTGGATTGCCTTGGCTCTGGCCATTTGAGGAGTTAACCAGCAGATGGAAGATCTTTTCTTCTGCCTCCTCTATATAAGTCTGTCATATATATATCAATCATAGTTACAGAGGGAGAGTAGAGAGATCTCCTATCTATCCGTCTACCCCTCAGGTAGCCACAATAGCCAGGGCTGCTCCAGTCTGAAGCCGGCAGCCAGGAGCTGGAAGCCCAGGCACTTCTGTTGCTTTCCCAGGAGCATTAGCAGGGAGCTGGATCAGAAGTGGAAGCAGCCAGGACTTAAACAGACACCCATATGAAATATCAGCACTGTTTTTGATAGCTTAACCCATTATACCATAGTGTCGGTCGCAGGGCCACTTTCTTTGGGGTTTATGAGAATGTTCTGGAATTAGTAGTGACAGCTGTATAGGTTTGTGATTTTCCTAAGAAACTGTAGGACTGAACACTTAGAAGTGGCGTATTTTGTGCAGCGTGCACTGTAGCTGGGAACAAAGGAATGAGTAGATGAGAGCTGTGAACAGTCAGCGCAGGCTGGGGGTGGGAGTGTTGGGCCATGACCCTTTCTTGGAAGGTGGGGGGTAGCCCAGCCCCAAGTCCAGCTGCTCACTCTGCCCTCTCTCCCACAGCTCACATTGCAGAAGAACCCTGGAAACTGCTTCAGCATGTGAAATTCCAGTCCAGCAACTTCGAGAACATCCTGACATGGGACAGCGGCCCAGATAGCACACCAGACACGGTCTACAGCGTGGAGTATAAGACGTGCGCTTCTCTCCCAGCAGCTCGGGACCCCAGTCCAGCCAAAAATTCCCCATCCCATCTGTCCCCATGTCTCCACTGGTACTGGTGGCTCCTAGCCCCTTCCAGAGGCAGCGTGGCCCTTTGTGTTCCTTCCATGGAAGGAAGACAAAACCATGGTCAGTTCTATGGCTCTGAAGCCAGATGGCCCAGGTTTGAGGAACCGTTCTGTCCAGGTGATCTTGGGTAACCTTGCCAAGCCTCAGTTTCCCCATCCATAATGTGAGAATGGTGATAGAACCTTCATCATAAGGGTGTTCAGTAGATGATGTAAAAGAAGCTGTGAACACCACCAGTGCCTGCTGATACAGAGCTGCCAATACTGGCTTTGTTATCATTGGTAAAACTGGGTCAACCAGTTGTGCCTCCACCCAGGGGAGGAAGATGGGCATGGATGGGCTATCTTCTTGCCTGGGCTTCATTCCTGGTCCTGCCATCCTGGTCTGTGGCGAGCAACTTCTGCTGTCTCAGCCTCAGTTCCAACTGTTCCGTAACAGGGCCACCAGGAGCTCTGAACTTGGACTAGGGCTAGCCAACACCCCCACCAACGTGCACGTTTTAAATTCATGAGCGAATTTTCTTTCTTTGAGCCTCATCTTTTTGGAAAAGAGGAATAATTAATATGCACGCCTCAAGGATCCACTGTGGGAACCCAGACCACTCAAGTGCTCAGCACTTAAAGGGTGCTAGGCACAGTTATCATTAACATCAAGCTGTAGACCCAGTTCCAGCCTGCCCAGTAATGCCACGCTCAGCAGTCCTGCCTCGCCTACAGGTATGGAGAGAAATCGTGGCTGCCCAAGGCAGGCTGCCAGCTGATCTCCCAGAGGTCCTGCAACCTGACCACAGAGACCAGCAAAACCACAGAATTCTACTATGCCAGGGTCACGGCCATGAGCACGGGGGGCCGCTCAGCCACCAAGATGACCGAGCGGTTCAGCTCGCTGCAGCACAGTGAGTAGGAGCCCTCGCTTATTTCTGGGGAATGAGTGGAAAGTTAGGGGTGCAGGGGTGGCCTCTTTGCATCTAGAGTGGGTGGAGAGCCTGGCTGGAGAGTGGGGTGGGGTTCCAGGGAAAATGTATTCACCGCAGTAAATTGTGCTGCTCATTTTGCCCACCTCTGCCAAGCTGCTCTAACCCAGCCCACCCCGTGTCTTGACCCTGGTCACAGCCAAGGCCCCAATCTGCTTTCTCACCCCTTCTTGGCCCATCCTCCGCAGAGACTCCAGAAGAATCTGCTCAATGAGTCAGCCTACCATTTCTCATGTCCTGCTTAGCTCCCCAGCAGCCTTTTTTTGGCTCGCAAGACAGGGCCAAGTCTCACTGTGCCCACCAAGGCCCTGCCCGTCCCAGTCCTCTTCTCAAAAGCCTCACCTGCCCTCTCACTCCTGCCCCTGGCTGCACCTGCCTGCCCGGGGCCCTTGCTGTCCCAAATTCTCACACCTTGCTCTCCTCCAGTCCTTAAAGCTCAGCTTCAACTCAGCCCCCAAACCTAGTATCCCACCCCGAGCCCTGACCATCCGATTTCAGTATGCTTCACACAGCTGTTCCTTGTCCTCAGGTTCATGTCACAACCTGGAATGACCATGCTTGCATATATCTCCCTCACTACAGTGTGAGTTCCATGATTGTCCATGGGAGCCATGGAATCCACCGTATTCTTAACTCCTAGTAGAGTGCCTGGCACATAGAAGATACTTAATATGATATTGATGGATGGATAGTTGTATCGGTGGATGGGTGCGTGGAGCGTTAAATGAGTAATACTGAACACATAGTTGATGGGTGGGTGGTTGGACGGATGATGGATGGATGAATGAGTAGCAATTTCTAAACTGCCATCCACGTGAAGTATGTGGTGATGTTCATCAACTGACTCTACATCTACATGTGATTTTTTTAAAGACATACCTATTTTTGCTTATATGAGAGACAGTTACTGAGAGAGAGGCAGAGGGAGGAAGAGAGAGAGAGCTTCTATCCTCTGATTAACTTCCAGATGTGGTTAACGGCTGGGACTGGGCCAGGTTGAAGCCAGGAGCCTAGAGCTCCATCCGAGTCTCTTGCATGGTTAGCAATACTAGAACTCTTCCGAGTCCTTAGCCATCTTCTGCTGCTTTCCTAGGCATGTTAGCAGAGTGTTAGAATAGAATTGAAGCAGCCGGGACTTGACCTGGAGCCCATGGCATGCTTGCATCATATGCAGGCTTAACCCGCTGCACCCCAATGTCAACCTCCACATACGATTTTTCTAGATAATAAAGAATAAAATTAAATGATGTTGGCTTTTTTTCTGGCTTATATAATTAATCCATATTCAGGCTAAAATTTTGAAAGGTAAAGAAACATATATACAAAGAAAAATAAGTCAACCCAAACAGCATGCACTCTCAAACATAACCACAGTAATTAGCAACTGTACCTATCATTTTATAAGTGGGTTTTTTTTTTTATTGTTTTGGAGGGAGGTTTGGCACCATGAACATTTGCCATTATCATTAAATGTTTCCACAACACGATGTCACAGCTGCAACCAGACCCATTCTCTGAAGGTATTCTGATTTCCTGACCCAATCTCTTTCTTGAGCATAGGTGGCTCAGCTTTTCAATTTTATAAACAATACTGTAAAGAACATTCTTCTGATTCAGATGTTTTAAATATTTGGGATCAATGGACTCTTGAGGGATTTTTTTTTTTTAAGATTTATCTATGTATGAAAAGCCGAGTTAGAGAAAGAGAGAGATTTTCCAACTGCTGGTTCACTCACCAAATGGCCGCAATGGCCAGAGCTGGGCCAGACCAAAGTCAGGAACCTGGGGCTTGATCCATCTCTCCCTTGGGTGCAGGGACCTAAGTTCTTGGGCCATCTTCTACTGCTTTCCCAGGCACATTAGAAGGAAACACCTGGGACTAGAACCAGTGTCCATATGGGATACAGGTGTCACAGGCAACGGCTTAATATGCTATGCTATGCTATGCTGGTGAATTTTTATGAATTAGATAAGGGAGATGGTTCATGAAGTTGTATATAGGATTTTATATGTGAATATCTTATTGTTATTTATGTTTTGTATTCTATAAGCAGAAATGCAGAGAAAAAGGAAAGGAAGAGACAAAGGGACACAGAGGTCTTTCATCTGCTAGTTCACTCCCCAGATGGCTGCAGCAGCTGGGGTTGGGCCAAGCTGAAGTTGGGAGCTGGAACTCAGTCTGGGTCTCCCACATGGACTCCCCAGTACTTGAGCTGTCACCTGCTGCCTCCCAAGGTGTGCGTTAGCAGGAAGGTGGAATCAGAAACAGAGCTAGGGCTTACCCACATTCCAGTTCAGAATGGGAGCACCCCAAGGGGCATCATCACTACTGCCCCTCACACCCACCTCTCTATATAGACGTGCTGATGTCCCCGGACCCAGTGTTAGCTCTTTTCAGCGTTAGCTCTGTTTGGTATAAGCTATTGTGCTCACTTCAGCACATATTCTAAAGTTGGAACAATCAATATAAGCTCTTTTCAGGATGCCACCACAGACTGAAACACCAGACTCGGCGACCCTCGCAGGAGGTTTTATTCCAGGAGGAATGAAGGCAGCAGGGATGGGACTGGAGGCAGAGAGAGGGAGAGAAAGGGAGAGAGAGGGAGAGAAAGGGAGAGAGAGGGAGAGAAAGAGAGAGAGAGGGAGAGAGGGAGAGAGATGTCTCCTGCCATAGTGGCAGGAGGAGGGCTCCAAGAGAAGAGGGAAAGAAGGATAGAGCAAGATGAACCAAGGTGGCACATACGCAGGACTGGCCCGTATGTGGCTGGACGGGCATCATGGCACCCTGAGGGATTGGTGGGTAGGGCTGTGGGTGCCATAGGCGATTGGGAGGTGCAGTGGTGGGCGAGGACTAGCAGGAGGGGCTACGAGGGGTTAGTGGATAGGGCTGCCAGCTACGGTGCCATGAGTTTCCAGTGCATTGGTGGGAACAGGCTTATGAAAACAGGCTTATGTCTGCAGGATAGCAGATAACAAATCGTGAACCCAAAGGGCACGTGAATCTTAAGGAAGCCAAAACCTAGGAAAAGCAGATGCTTTAAATGATACTGAGTGTAAGATGACGGGGTCTTCAGGGCCAATGGTAGAGTCACTCACTCATGCCCAGCACCTGTCAGGTTCTCAAAGGGGTCACTTGCTTATTTGGAAAGTTTCATCAGAGAGACAGAGAGGCAGAGAGAGACAGACAGAGACAGAGAAAGAGTGAGTGAGAGAGAGAGAGAGAGACTAAAGTCTTCTGGCTGGTCTTGGGGTCAAATCAACAGTCCTACCCATGCTCCCAGGGCCATTAGGCATGTACCCTGGGAACCACAGTCACGGACATTCTTGAAATCACTGATGCCAGCAGATTACAGAGGAAGAGTGCTGCAGCCAACTCAGGGGGAGTGGGCAGGGGCTGGGGTGCCCTGTTGGAGGAACAATTGCTGATGCCCAGTATACTGGGCTCTTCCTGCCCACCCATGGTCACCTCTTGGCCGGCTGCTTGCAGGATATTGTTCCCTGCACCTGTTGATGTTGCTGATATTTCCAGAAGCACAGTGAGGGTTAGGGCAGGCAAAGAGGGGAAGCTGTTATTTTCCATTGTCTCTCCAGGGCGGCCTCAGACACCAACGGCCAGTTCCGAATGCTTCTTTTTTCTCTCCTTTTCTCTAGCTACCATCAAACCACCAGATGTGACTTGTATCCCCAAAGTCAGATCTGTTGAGATGATTGTCCATCCTTCCCCCACGCCCATCCAAGCACAGGATGGCCATCAGCTCACCCTGAATGACATCTTCAAGGACCTGTTCTACCGCGTAGAGCTCCGTGTCAACCATACCTACCAAAGGGTAAGTGGGTGTTGCCCTGTCCTTCCTTTTTTTGCTTGAATCTGCATTGCTTTAAGTAGACAGAGGATGTGTTATATACATAGGCATTTCCCAGAATCTCCCTGTTAGAATTCACATGCCCTATTATAGCATGTTTAAGGCTCTGACAAGTCTGCAGAGCCAAGAACCTGGTGTCCATTTGTTTAATGCAATTCCTCTCAAGTGTCTTGGCTAGAAAAACTCCTTTTATGTACAATATAGATTGCTTTTCTGCATGATACCTCCAAAAGTTACAGGAAGAAACCTCTATGAGCTTCCTCCAATATTTGCTTTAGAACATGCTAGAACCTGTTTCCATGGGTACATCCCTGCTTTGCTCATTCTGTAGAATGTCATGATCGATCGAATAGACGAGAAGATGCTTAACAGATAAATGATTTTATTAAACTGCACTGCAGCCATCATCCATGCTTTTAGGACAACATACTTTGTCAAAGAACATACAGACTTTCACATCCCAAAAAGCCGTGGTGTCAAAGCTGTGGTTACAAAGGCCAGGACATACAAGCTTTTGTTAAGCACTGTCGTACTAACAGTCTCAGGATTGGTTTTCCTAGGTTAATTAAACTTAAAGAAAGCCAAAAGGGAAGAACAACATAGTGAATTACAACCTGAATCAAAGGGGAAAGGAGGAGACAGCCTTGGGGTTAGAAGGCCTTTCTTCCATAATTTAAGATGGGAGGCAGACATGAAGGAGAGATAGATAGCGTTGGGACCCATAGCTCCAAGATAAGCCATCCATCACCCCAGGTGTTCTTGGCTCAGGATAAGCTACTTATCCACTGACACCTCAGCTCCATCAATAGAACCTTGCAGCAACTGTGACTGTAGGCAGTGTCTTAAGAGCAATTAAAATAAAATGTAGATGCCACGGGCATAAATTTTTTTAAGACTTATTTTTAATTTTTTTCAAAGACAAGTTGCAGAGAGGAGGAAAGTCAGAGAGAATCTTTCATTCACTGGGTCACCTAGCCAAAATGGCCAGGACTGAGTCAGGCCAAAGCCAGGAGCCTGGAGCTTCCCCAGTGTGAGTGCAAGAACTTAAAGACTTGGTCTGTCCTGCACTGCTTTCCCAGGCCATACACAAACAGCTGGATCAGAAGTGAAGCTGGCAGAACTCCAAAGGGCACTCACATGGGGTGCCCATTGCAGGCTGGCTCCAAAGATATACATTGTCAAACTTTAAACAATTTCATTTTATATTCACAAAGTATGTGGTATTTCCCCCCAACCTAATTCAATTGAATAAATTTTTTTCCCCCTAGTCAGTGGGTAGAGAGGGAGGAAGATGAGCATGGGGCAAGGAGATGGGCTTGGCATGGTCAGGCAACTCCCAACGAGCACTGGTGCCGACAGCAGCTCCTGAGTGTTCCAGGTAACAGGTGCCTGTGAAATCTTCCCTGCGACCTTTGTGGCAGGTGCCAGGAACTCCAGGTTGCAAATGAGAAAACAGAGTTTCAGAGAGGTTATGCCACTTGCTCAAGATTGTTCAGCATGTAAACAGTAGCATGGATAGGATTCTGGCCCACCTCTGTCAAAACCAACATTTCTCCTCCAACATCCCCTACCATGATCCGAGACAGAAGGAGAAAACCGTTCCTGGAGAACCCCAACCCGCTCAGTTTGGCAGGAGCTTGGAGACACACAGAGCAGATCCTGAATCCTCCTGCAGGCTTGTTTAAAATTTAGATTCTCGGGCATCTTCCAGTCCACTTTGTCTCTGAGATTTAGTGAACGAACCTACCCTGTGAAGGGCGAGGCCCTCCCTCTGAGAGGTAGGAGCCATGGAAAGAGATGGTGAGAGGTGGGCCATATGCCCAAGGTCAAGGTCAAGGGTGGCTGGTGTCTGTTTGCAGTAGCCCAGGGAGAGCAGTAGACATTACTGAGTATAAGAAGAGTCCTTATCACAGCTAGTGTTGATAAATATTTGGGGTATTGGTGGGTCTTTTGTTGCTATCAATTTCTAATTTAATTCAGGCTGTGATCAGAGAGCACCCTCTGTTTGATGGCAGCTCTTTGAAGTTTATTGAGATTTATTTTGCCATCTAGCATATGGCCTACGCAGGCCAATGTGCTAGCAGCACTTGAAAAGCACATGTGTGTGGCAGCTGTTGGGTTGTGTACTCTATAAATATCCCGGGGTCAAGGTGATGAAGCGTGTTAGTCAGCCCTTCTCTGTCCTTCCTTACTTGGTCTTTTAATTATGGAGAGTAGGAATCTACCCCTGGGATTGTCTGTTTTTCACTTTAGTTCTCTGCAGTTTTGTTTCATGCAATTCCAAACTCTATAATTAGACACACACCTTCACTTTCGTGGTTGCCAAAACTTCTTAATAAACTGACCTGCTTATCACGTCCCTTTTGATCTCTAAGAAACAGGAGGAAATCATCAACAGGTTAGTGGCAAAACTGAATTAAAAGTTCATTTTGTTGCAAAAAGAAGTTTGAAATCCACACACAATTTTTCACAATGCTCACTGTGAGGAGTGAGTGGAGTATCAGCCCCAAGTTTGATGAGACCCCCGCCATTTTAGACCTGCTGCTGTTCTACATAGTGGCTTCCCTCAGGTTTCAGTTCCCTCAAGTTTCGGTTTCATTTCTGTAATTTTCAGGCCCAATTTTGTACCTGACAACCCTGTCCATCAATGCCTTGTGACCCTGTACCCCTGGCTCTGCCAACCACCGCGTCTACCAATCCCCATGGTCTCAGACTCTCGATCCCTGCCCCTATGTTCTCTTTCATTTTCTCTCTCTCTCCTCCTCATGTGTGTACAGCCTCTTCTCCCCCGGCTGGTCCTTTGGAGCTCCCACTCCTGCCACTATGGCCTAGTTCCTTCTCTCTTTCTGCCCCCTTTTCTGCCTTTGCCCCATGCATGCAGTCCGTCTCTACAGTTAATGAAAATGTCTCGTGTGGTTCAGTAGCATCTTAGGTAAATAGCAAAAATTCCTGACACTCACTCTACAAGAACTTTTCCAACACCCCTAGAGCTCTTTGGGCTGACGTATATTCTGTCTGACACTCAGTCACTTAGCCCTCAGGTAGGATGCAGGGTATACCTTTCTCCATGCATTTGCTGTCAACCTACCTGCATCTTTCTATTTAAAATACTCACTCTCTTGTAGATGACATTCTGGCAGAACTTTTAAAAAAATAGTTAAATTGAGATGCAATTCATAAAATTCATCCTTTTAAAGTGTACACTTGAAAGGTTTTCAGTATATTCACAAAGTAGTATGACCCTCCCTGTCATCTAATTGTCTATCTCCTATTCATCTGCTCAAATTCTCCTATTTCTTCTATTATTTCTAATCAGTTGTTAAGATCATCCAATGAACTTTTAAATTTCAGTTATTGCATTATTCAGCTCCAACATTTTGCATTTTTGTACTTTCTGTATTCTACTGAGATTTCCTATTCACTCAATCCTTCATACTTTTTTTTTTAAACAAAGATTTCTTTATTTTCATTGGAAAGGCAGAGCAGATTTATGGAGACAAGGAAACACAGAAAGAAAGGTCTTCCACCTACTGATTCACTCCTCAAATGGTCACAGTGGTCACAATGGCCAAAGCTGAGGCGATCTGAAACCAGGAGCCAGGAGCTTCTTCCAGGTCCCCCATGTGAATGCAGGGCCGCAAGGCATTGGGCTGTTCTCTATTGCTTTCCCAGGCCGTAAGCAGGGAGCTGAATGGGAAGTGGAGCTGTTGGACATGAACTGGTGCCCATATGGTATCCAGAATTCGCCATTGAGCCATCACTCCAGGTCCTTATTCATTCATTGTTAAGATGGTGTCCTTCACATCCTTGAGTATAGTTCAAGAGTTATTTTTAAATTGTTGTGTTTTAATTTCAACATTTTGGCCGTCTTAGGGTTAATCACACTGGATGGTCTTTTCTCCTGACATTTTCTCTTTTCCTGGATAAATTGCAGTTCTGGAGTGCGACCTGGCCATTACGGATGATATACTGATATAACTCTGAACTTCATTATCTTCCTCCAAGGAGTGCTGGCCAGTTGGTTTAACAGGCAATTCATCTGGCTGAACTCCAAACTCCGCAGTTTCAATCCAGTTTTGTTTTGAACTCCTGCAGGGTCACTGGAAATCTACCCCATTCATGCACACTACAGGGCCAAGCCAATGCTTTTCATCAAGTTCATCAAGTTCATCCACAGATTCTGGACCTGTCTGTGGATTTGCCCTCACCATGGCTGCTCCCTTCACGTTTCAGCCATTCTGATTATTCCACACTGCTTCCATTGCTTATCCAAGTCAGGAAGATTACAGAGTTTCTAGACTGGGGTCTTCCTTCAGGCTCAAAAAAGTAGGAATTTCACTCAATGTCAGGCTCTTCCTCCTCTCCCCAATCTACGTCCACTTAGGCTCAACTTTCCAGCCTTTAGATAGTTATTTTGTTTGTTTGTTTGTTTGTTTTGAGAATCTGCAGTTGCTATTTTGGGGAGGGTTTTTCCAAAAGATGCTTTAGGTTTCTTGCAGCAGAGTGAAGAGTGATCAGGATGGGAAGGCAGAGTCCACTGCAATAGTCTAGGCTGGAAGTAACCAGGGCCAGAAGTAGATGGGGACAACACAACATTTGGGGAGAAAGGCCTCTCACGCCCTGGCAGCTGGCCTCGGCTTGGTCCATGGCCCCAGTGTAAGAATGTAAAGCCTGTTCCATAAAATTCTATTTTGTAAAATCTGTTTGAGTATCTGTTCACCTGTTCTCACACACCCCTATCTCCAAAAAGGAACCCCTCCCCACTACCCGCCCTAAACGTTGGCTTCCCCATGCCTAGAAGAGGGCAGTCAGAGCCGAAATGTAAAGAGCCTATTCTTGGTTATACAAATCTGGAGAGCACAGGCCCTGGGCCTTTTATGGGCAATGTACAGCTGCTTTCAGGGCAGTTAGACACAAAGGATGTGTGAGAGAATGTGTCGCAAATAGCTTTGAGGTCTGGCTTTGAATATTAGAAAAAGAATGATGCTGTTAACAGAATTAAAGAATGTCACATGGTGTGGGTTTGAGCCTTGGGATGGGGCAGGACCCAGAGAGAGGCGGTCACCATGTTTGCATATATGGAGTGGAGATGCCCACGTGGTGTCAACCAGCAGGGAGCTGGCAATGCCCATCGGAAGCCTGGAGCTCACCCTGGAAGGGGTTTAAGGGTATCCACCCTGAGTGATTGTAGGAGTTGTGAGTCTAGTCCAGCAGGTGACAAGAGGGTGAGTGGGAGAAAAGGAAAATGGATCAGGAATTCAACTTGCAAAACTTCAACACTGAGAGGTTAAAAAGCAAGGAGACAGTAAGCAGAGGAGTAAGAAGCAGGACCACCCATGGCCACCTTGACTCACTGAACAAGAATCTGGAGCAGGAAGGTGAGACTTGCACTCTAGTCACACGGAAGACCAACAGGTGCAAAGGAGCTGGGTTTGCTCAAGCAGGCCGGATATTTACCACAGCCTGAAAGCTAGGGGGCTGGGGTTGAGTGTGGACAGAGAGGCAGAGACCAGGATGTCGTCCTGGAAACAGGGGCAGGCCACTCAAGGACTGGGGACAGGGGAACACTGTGATCATACTCATCTTCGAGCAGGATTGTCATGGTGCCAGGGTGAATGTGGAGTGGGCAGGGGACCAGAGAGAGGTCCAGTTTAGGGCAGAAGCAATGAGGAAGATGAGAGAGGAATGGGCACATACAAAGTTCTTGTTGTTTGAAGGAGAACTGGGAGCAAGGGAGGGAGGATGGGAGAGGAAAGAGGGTGGCGGTGATGGTATCCCTCATTGCCATGGTCAGCTTTCATTAGCTGCTTGCTACACGTGAAAGCCTCAGGGTAAAAGGGCGCGGTGCTTGGCAGCCATTGGATTTGAGGGAGAAAGCAGGAGGCAACAGTGGGACAGGGGTACTACTGGGTGACCCCATGGCCTCTGGTCTGGGCTGGGTCCACCGCCCTGAGCACAGTCCCGCAGGAGGAGGGAGACTGGAGCCTCCGAGTGCAGATCGGTGTGGTGGAAGAGGAATCATTTTGAATTCTTGGTCAAATTCAGCACCTCGGTGGCAAACAGAGACAATACGAGTTCCTTAGTCTGACCCCCGACACGGAGTTCCTCGGTTCCGTCACGATTCTGGTTCCCACCTGGTCCAAGGAGAGCGCCCCCTACGTGTGTCGTGTGAAGACGCTGCCAGGTGAGTTCAGCAGAGGGAGGGGGGATTCCTGAGCCCAAACCTTCACTCTTTCAGGTTACCATGGTGATGCTTGGCTGGGCACTTAGGAGCCACGGGAGAGTTGACATTTGGTGTATTATTAAGACTAATCTTTGTTATCTGTTACTGGGTTAGCTGATGAATTATCAGAGCCAATATTTAATCCCACCCTCCAGTCTACATTTGGATTTCCTCTCTCGCTAGCCAACTTTGTGGTGTTCTCATAAGATAAACTCATGTTAAAACGGACCCAAGTGAGATATACTGGGCAGGTGGGTGGGGGGAATCTGCAGCTAGGAGATCAGAGAAGATAAAAAAAAGATGCCTCAACATCTTCCCAAGATAAATAAAAGCCATCATAATGGCAATGGCAGTAACCAGTAACTTCTTCTATGCCAGCTGGACATACTGTAGTCCTTGTGAATGGTCTAGGAGTCAGGGACCAGGCTGCAGACAAGGACATTGACCTTCAGAGGGGTTCAGCAGCTTGCCCAAGGCCACCCAAGTGGTGAGGGACAGAACGAGGCCATCACTGGAGACAACTCTCTTGCCACTGTGCTACCATAGTAGTTTTGAGTCACCTGCTCAGCAGAAAACACCTTGCAACTCAAGCTTCAGCCCCAACCTCAGCCCCAGCCCCAGCCCCAGGCCCAGGCCCAGCATCATTAGTGTCTGTTTTCATAGGCTGGTAGTGAGATTGTAGGAGGATGAAAATGAGAGCAGGCTATGGGCTGCACTGAGAGACTCCACAGAAGTCAGTGTGTTTGGGTAGTAATGTCAGCAGGTGATTTTTTTTTAAGATTGCTTTTTTATTGGAAAAAAAAAACCAGAATACAGAAAGGAGGAAATATACAGAAAGGAGGAAAGACAGAAAAGAGGAAAGACAGAGAGGAAGATCTCCTGTCCAATGATTCACTCCCCAAGTGGCCGCAATGGGCAGAGCTGAGCCAATCTGAAGCCAGGAACCAGGAGCCTCTTCTAGGTCTCCCAAGCCTCTTCTAGGGTCCCATGGTTTTGGGCCATCCTTGACTGCTTTCTCAGGCCACAAGCAGAGAGCTGGATGGGAAGCAGGGCTGTTGGAATTAGAACCAGCACCCATATAGGATTCTGGCATGTGCAAGGAAAAGATTTTAATCACTAGCCTACCATGCCAGGCCCAGCAGGTAACTTCTGTTCCAACAGGCCAACTACCCAAGTCCTAGTATGTTCACTTGTTGAAAAGACCTGCTGGCCGCTGACCAAGGCTGTGCCCTCCTTGGGGCCTGGAGCAAGAGGAGGGCAAGATGAGAACTGAAAGAAGAATGGGGCTTCATGGGTGCTAAGCGGGAAGCAAGGCCAGTAGTGACTCTCTAGCCTGGACTGCTCTGGGTGCTGCCTTTGCAGCCTCTGGCAAAGCGTTGGCTTCTGCTTCCGTGAGCCTGCTCATGCAGTGACTCCATCTTTTCTCCTAAGATGGTAGCAACTTTTCTGTACATCACACTTCTTGATGGCTACTTCTTGGTGGCATGGAGAAAGCACTTAATCCTTAAAAACACGTAGAAAACAATTCCTGCCATCTATTAAGTATTGTTTTATTGTCAGGTATTGTGTCACATGCCCAACATACAGTCTTTTTCAGAAATATTTATTTACCATGGCCAGCACAACCAAGACCAAGGTGAAGAGGGTGGATGATGTGCAATAGAAAGATTAATCTTTAATTAATTAATTAATCTTTAAGGAATCACCATCCCAGCCGGGGGGGGGTGCCTCAGGTGGGACAGCACCTGCCCAGAGGACAGCATCACATGCCTCTCCACCAGTTCCTTGAACTCATTATCTCAGGAATGTGTGCTGCCCGGGGCTCTGACCTTGCCAACCGTGGACCTTGCTAATGCGATATCACTACTGTGGCTTTCATTCCTGGACACCTGGCACCAGTCCATCTCTGTCCTTCTCTGGCTGTTGACATCCTTTCTGATGACCTCTGGCATGTTTATTTGAAAGGCAGAGAAAGAGAGAGGGAAAAAAGAGGGAGAGAGAGACAGGCAGAGAGTGAGTGAGCTCCTCTCTTTGCTGGCTCACTTCGCACATAGATTTCACAGGCAGGTCTGGGCTAATCTAAAGCCGTGGTCTCCAATTATTTGGGCTGTAACCTCCCAGGTTATGCTGCTGCCTCCCAGGCGCATTAGCAGGAGGTTGGATGGAAAGTGGAGCAGCTAGCACTCTGATATGGGATGCTGGTGACACATCTGGCAGCTTAACCCTTTACATATCCTCTTTTATCTTTATTGTCACCTTGTTATTTAATATTTAAAGCAACACTGGGCAGCCTCATCCCCACGTTAGGGAGAGGGAACTCCAGCTTAGAGGCCCAGCTGCTTGCCCAAGACCATACAACCCTTCTCCATGTTTCTTTGCACGTCTGTCTCCCGTGCTGTACCCCTTACTTCCTCCTCAGGGTACCTCGGCCTTATATCCTGAAGTCTGCCTGTCTCTTGGGCCAGCATCCCTACTTTCTCCACTTCTTGGGGTGTCTGGGAGGGTCACAGGGCAGTGTCTCGGTATCTTAGTATTGAAAAGGATCCTTCGTCCATGTCACCTGTGTCACTTGAACCATGAGGTGTGATGTGTCATGGCTGTAAGGCAGGGCTCTGGAGTCACACCTGGGAACCCTGGCTTCTCCACTGAGGGGCTGTGTGACCCTGGTCAAGTCACTTCACCTCTCTGAGGATCAGTTCCATTATCTGCAAGAAGGAGCCCCCACCCCATGTTGTCTCAGTGACATGTGGGGAGAACAGGCAGAGCCTGCAGTGCATGGCACACCAGAGAGGGCCATGGCAGACCAGAGAGGGCCGTGCTGCCGAGAGCAGGGTACTCAGCTGCTCTGTGCTGCAGCAGGAGCTCTGTCGTCTCTGGGTCATTTTTATCATCACATGCCGCCACCCATGACTCCCATGGAAATTGTACAGAGCTAGGGAATGTTCTGAGTGCCTGTCCCGTCCTAATATGTGGCTTCGCTGGCATGTTAGGCATGCCACACAGAGGCCGTTGGGACATTCAGATCCTGTCTTCTGCCTGGAGCAGCAGTGAGCATGTCACGTGATGGGGACAGGCTGTCACTGAGGCGGGCAGCTGACCCACAGAGGCCCAGGCCACTCGGGTAGGGGTGGGGGAATAAGGAGTGGGGTGGAGTTGGCATCTCCCGATTCACAGTGGTGCCTGAGCTCAGCGGCCACTGGTGACAAGCTCCCCGGCCTGGAAAAAGAAGGACTTAGAGAGAGGCCAGACCCTTGGGGGACTCTATGGCCAATGTCACCAAAGCCTCCAATGTGCTCTTCCTCTCCAAGCCTTTCTTGAGCTGGTGGCAGGAGATGTGTCCTGCCAAGAACTGTTGTGCCCGTCCCCAGGACACCAGGCCCCAGGGAGCAGGCTGGGGCACTGAAGCCTGAAGTCATTCTTCTCCTCCCCTTTTGGAAACAGCAGTGACTTCTCAGGCTCTCCTGGCTGGACAAGGCCTGCGAGACACCCAGCCCCTTACTACCAGGGCCTGGGGGTTGCCAGACAGGCCCTCTGGCTGAGCCCAGCACCCTACTCTCCACAGGCCCTCTCCTGGACACACCCTCCACACAGGATCAACACTTGCTACAGCAAGGCCTTCCTGCTAGATGGCAACCAAGCTCGTATCTGGAACCTGAGGTGGCTGGTATCCAAGCCCAAGCTTGTGTTCCCATCAGACCATGTCCTCTTTCCTCCCTAGTGAGGGCCCTTTGCTGATGTGCTGGTCCACAGGTACCCACAGGAAGCTACTTGTGAACATGAGGGTTCTGCAGTGGGAGTTGGGCCAGCGCCAGGGGCTAGCAGGGGGCTCCTCCTGCACCTCTGCTTTCTAGCCCAGGGTTGCAAGGAGCCCAGGAACTGTGAATCAACCCTGGCATCCCAGGTTGCTATAACCAGCAGATACGCCAGGGGGATGCAGGAAGTGCATTGGACCTAACAGTGTAAAGCCCCAGTCTGTGTCTCCTGAACGCATAGGGGTGCACGAGGTAGACCCCACTGGAGGGCTGGCTCTGGCCAGGGGATGCTGAGAGCAGGGGCAGCCTTTCCTCCTCTGGTCAGAGGGCATCTGCCATGTTCCACACTGGGGACAGGGCCTGGTCGTATCCCAGCCTCACACTTCCTTCTTGGGCCCCTTTGCTCCTCCAGATCGGACCTGGGTCTACTCCTTCTCAGGTATCATCCTGTTCTTCATGGGCTTCCTGATGGCGGGCCTCTGCTACCTGAGCTACAGATACGTCACCAAGCCACCAGCGCCCCCCAACTCCCTGGTGAGCTGTTGTCCTGCCTGGTGCAGGGGATGGGTTCAGGGAGGACCCCCATAGGTGGGAGGCCAAAGAGGAGGAGTCAGGGTCACAGATGCTTCTGGAAGCTCAGGGATCTGCACATAAGGAAGACTGGCTTGTTTTCTCCCCTGAGGAGTGCGCAGGCTGAGCTTGTATCCACAGTGACAGGTGTCAGGAAGGCAGGTAATGGGGAAAAATGAATGTGAGATGGAAGAGCCCAGTGGCTTGAAAGGGTCCAGGGCCATGTGGGGAACAGAGGAGCAGCAGGGGGGAGGGGTTGAGCAATGGTAGGAGTTGCGGGGCACAGGGCAGTGCCCCTGGTGGGGCCCCTAGGGATCCTAGAACTGGTGGCAAAGTCCAGATGAGTCACAGTCTCTTAAAGCAGCCTGGCTTCCTGAGAGTCCCTTTCCCTGTCCCCCTTGCTCCTAGTGAAGTGCTTGGGGACCTGTAATCCAGGCAGCCATGGCCCCACTGCCCAAATTGCAGCCACATGTCTGAGTCATCTCCTTCCGGGATCACCCACACCCTTCTCCTGGGGAAAGCAGAGCCTACAGCTCCCTCCTGGCCCTGACCCTGGCTCATCTCAGTGGGCCCCAGCCAGGGGGCAGAAAGCTGTCTGTGGCATCAGAGCAGCCTCTGTCTGGATCATGGAAAGGCCACTAGGGGGTTCATTCTAGGACGGCCCCCTATCCCAGGGACTTGCAGAGTGCTGAGAACACACCCTGTCGGGGTGGGCTCTTGTCTCTTACAGAATGTCCAGCGAGTGCTTACCTTCCAGCCACTCCGCTTCCTCCAGGAGCACGTCCTGATCCCCGTCTCTGACTTCAGTGGCCCCAGCAGTCTGGCCCAACCTATGCAGTACGACCAGATCAAGGTCTCTGATCTCCAGGGGACCCCCGGAACAGTGCCGCTGCAGGACCTGCCCGAGACAGCCTACGTAGGGCAGCCAGATGTCTCCATCCTCAGGCCCTCCAATGAGTCCCCTCCCCAGACTCCGGACCCCCAGCCATCCCATACTCCCAAGACGCTCCCTGAAGTCCCACCACCATCCTACGCACCCCAAGTCACAGCCGAAGAGAAGCCACCAGCCTACACACCACAGGCTGTCCCTAAGTCTCAGACTCTTTCCTATGTCCCACAGGACACCACCACTGACAGCTGGCTTCCTTCCTATGGCATATGTGTGGAGGGACCTAGCCAAGAACAGCCCCCTGAGACAATCCCTAATCCCACACACCTTTGGCCCAAGTGTCAGATCTCCAAAGAGGTGCCCACTGGGAGTTGCATCCCAGGTGGCCTTTCTCTACGGGAGGTGACCTCCCCGTCCCTGGAGGACTCCCAGGAAGCTGAACTGCCCCACCTGCCTCTGGGCCTTTGCACGGACAGCAAACCTGACCCCAGCATGCTGCACAGTGAGGAGCCAGGGACCCCACACTTCCTCGGAAGCCACCTCCCACTCTTGTCCTCTGTGCAGATTGAAGGTCACCCTGCACCCCTCCTTCTTAGTGCCCCGTCTCCTCCCTGCTCCCCCTCTGATCAGGGCCCGCAGCTTTGGAGTCTGCTGGATTCCCTGGTGTGTCCCAAGGATGAAGGGCTGAGGTCTGAGACAGAAGCCACGAGCTCAGTCCCTGAGAACTCAAGTCTGGAGTCGCCCGTGGAGCTGGACTCCCTGTTCAGAGGACTAGCCCTCACTGTGCAGTGGGAATCTTGAGGTGATGGAGGGACAGGGCAAGCCTGGGGCTACCTCCAGTTCTCTACATCCAGCCATGCCACGTACCCTGTGCCTCAGCCTTCGGTGGAGGTCTTGAAGAAAGGAGGTCACAGGGTCCCTGACGTCGGTGGGCTCCTCATCGGAGCTAAACATCATGACCAGGCCTGCAGCTGGAGAACTGCACCTGCTGTAGGCAGGTGTGCATGTGTGCAAGCAAGCGTGGGCAGGCAAAGTCCTGCAGGAAGGCACAGCAGGTGCATCGAGGCCAAGCACAGGAACCTCCTACATTGCTGTGCACAAAGAAGCCAGTCTTGGCCTCCTCGGCAAAGTTCAGGGATGAGAAAGCAGCCAGGGGAAGGACACTCTTCATCATCATTGTTATCATCAGCCAGGCAAAACCAGAACATCCTGCAAAACTGCCGCCAAGGTCAGGTGCACACTCTGGGAAGCGGGGTGGGTGGCCTGGGGCTGGGTCCCCACCAGGGATCCCCCCTTCCCTGCAGGTGCACCCTTTCCACTTCACTCCTCAGCTAAGGCAGCACCCTCAGCAGATCCACCCAGGAGATGGACCGTAAGCTCTTTCCGCAGGCGGAATTTTCAGACACAATGCTGAGAACGGGACTGGAAAAACACGTGGGGTCCTATGGGTTCTGAAAGGGATGTGACTGTGAACTATGTTTAGTTCCCAGCTCTGGGGACTAAGCCTTGGGTCCAGCCCTTCTGGGTTCAAATCCCACCTTTACCACTCAACAGCTGTGTGACTTCAGAACCTCAGCTTCCTCACTGAAAATGGATATAAATTGAGTATGAACTGCCGATGCCCCTCAAGTGCCTGCTTACACATGGTGCTGCCCGATAAGTGGGAGCTACTTCCTGTGATAACTTCTGCATCCAGACTGCCTGAGCTGGCCTTCAGGCATCCCCAGGGTTCACTGATCTCGTTGTGCCAGGCCATGCTGGAGCACGGGGCAGGTGGCTGCATCAAGTGGCAGGGACGGTTTCAGGGAGGCAGTGCAGCCACCTTCTCCTGGAAGCCAGAGAAAGAAGCTGCATGTGGGTGCCAGAGGTGAGCTCTGACACATTCTTTGCTGGAGTGGAGCGCCCCGCAAAACCGGGCTCCTGTCCTCCCTTCCCCTGCCTCCCGATGCCCCCTGTGGCTCCCGCACTGCTTGGGTGCCTGGAGGACAAGACCAAGGAGGCCTAAGGAGTGAGGACCCTAAGGGGGCTTCCTGATCACACCCTTGGCCCAATGGGCTCACTGAGAGTTTTTGAGACAGTGGGATCACACCCTGGCGACCTCTGTGTGACACTCCCACCCACCCACGGTGTCATGCGCCCTTAACTGCTCCCACCAGCAGGACTACTTCTTTTCTGCACCCCTCCCCCACCCTGGGACAGGTGACAGGTGGCTTCCTTCTTATCTGGAATTAATATTTAACATCTCTTCAAGGTCCCTGACTCCCTACCTCCCCTGGCAGAGGGGCCCACCCTCCCCAGCACCCAGACCTTGCTTGCGGCTCAGCAACTGTTAAGCTGTTAAGCCAACCCTCACAGTGGCTCCCCACTTGCACCCCTATTGCCAACATCCTGTCCCTAGGGGTCCCCTGGCCAGAGGGGCTACCCATCCTCCCATGTTTCTTGGTGCAGACACCCAGCAGCTGGGTGAGTTCTCCTGGTAAACGGCACTGGGGAGCTCCCCGGGTTTGATTTTTCATCCAGAACCATTGATTCCTCTTCAATCCCCAGGACCACAAAGCTCTCGAGCAAGGATAGCTGTGAGTTCTGTGTCTAAGGGTATTCGACCCTCCTAAGGCTGGCCCTTCTCCCCAGATGGGGTACAGACAGCAGGACGCCTGAGGTTCCCACCCAAAGGCTGCCCAGCTGACGAACACAGCATCCTCCAAGCCCAGGAGTTGGCTACCTGCTGCAGCATTCCTAAACGCCGCCCGCCCCCCAAGCTCCCACTCCATTGGTGGAACTCGCCACAGTGCTTCCTAGAGCAGTCCTAAGAAAGGTGCACCTCCCAGGTGTCACCTGCCTACTAGGCATGGAAAAACCAAGCCCAGCAATAAAGGGACCTGAAGCCACGGATAGTGCCAAGCCCTATAGATGCTGTGGTTTTTTGCCTCCATGCACGTATCTATGATAAGGCATCATTTATAAATGATATAAACAGGTGGCCAACATTAGCTCAAATGACAGGATAATTAATGCTGTAAATAAGGTAAAAGCTACCTGGACACAGGCACTGCCATGTCATGGATCCAACATCAGTGATGGCTACTGAAGGATTGCAGTGTGCAAGACATGGGCAGTGTGGCTGGCACTGCCCAAAGCAGGTACAGTATTTGTTTCTGGAATTTTGTGTTTAATACTTTAGGACTGGAAGTGGAGATGGGAGTACCAAGATGGGAGTAACTAGAGCCACAGGTTAGGGGTACTCCTGGAGAAGCAGCAGTATGGTGAAAAAAGAAAAGGACTTCAACAGCATGGCCCATCAGCTACCTTCCCTCAACCTACCACTGAGAGTTTATGCAGGAGGAAAGCACAGCTCAGAAAGTTGGCTTGCCTTAAGTTAGTTTCCTAAACTTTCTCCACCATGAAAATATTTGAAATACAGCTTCCCCGCCCCATCTCAGCTCTGCTACCTCCCCAGCTCGTGGAGAATCAGTATTTCTAACAAGTTCCTTAGATGGCTGCTCCAGGCGAGCTCAGGGAACCACGTCCTTCCAGCAACATGTTCCTACTACACTTTCAGAATATCAGCTCCCGATGGGCAGTGGCAAGACTGGCCAGCCAGGTTCCTGCCTCCAGGAACATACAGGAGATGCCCAGGATCCCACCTGGGGGGCCAGGTCCTTCAGGGCACTCCCAAGTCTGGGATCAGCCTAGGACAAGGAGACCATGGCCTGTTGTCACAAGCACTCCACCTCCCGGGACAGACACTGTGAGCTAAAGCTGGCCTGGCCACAGAGGAGGGGTCCTACCCCTGCCTTCCAGCTGTGGCTGTTGCTGGGGAGACGTGGCTCTCAGCACCTTGGCTGCTTGGGCCTATTTTCCCTGCACACTCTCAGGCAGAAGAGGCACAAGGAACAGAAGCCTCACCCTGCAGACATGAGAACAACAGCAGCAAGAGCTAAATGGAACAGAAGAGCCGCAGATGGCTGAGTAGAGGCAAGAGCACGGGGCAGGCAAGAGGAGAGAGCCAGGCAGTTCTCCTTTGGAGCCAGCAGGGGAGCCACCAGCCAAGGACAGCTTGGTTATCAGCTTGAAAAAATTAAAATGATGTGGAGATTGGGTTGTTGGTAGGTGAGGCAGGATTCAAGGAGTTGTCTGTTTGGTCCTGAGTCCCAGGAAGGAGATGAAGGAGAGCAGAAAAGAAGGAAGGAGAGGTGTGGGTGAGGTACCATACCAGGCGTTTTGTACCTATGAGCCAGAGGAGTCCCCAGGTTACTGCTGGAGCAGCTGCTGCTCCAGGTGGGGCCTTATTCGGGTGTCTCCCCAAGACCCATAATAAGGTTTGGCCCCCAGAGTTCTATGCTAATGTTAATATTCTATGTTAATGGTACAAAGAGAGTGAAAACATCACCCAACTTCAGTATGGAGAGGCAGGATCTTTGAGGAGTGATTGGCATGGCTTGGATTGCCAAGATGGAGTCTAGGAGGACTAGGACTGCATTCTAAGGAGAAGCAAGGACAGACGTGGCGCCCTCTGAGTCACACAGGACTCTGCTCCGAGGAGGGGCAGGGACAGACACGGGTGCACTCTGAGTCACATGGGACTCTGCCAGCAGGACACCAGCCAGCACACCGAGCCAGGAGACCTCTCATTCTTGCACTGTGACCCTCCCAGACCTTACTGCATTGTAGCAGGAAAGCGGGTTGCATGGTTCCCCCCAAGACTGCCATGATTGAAACCTTGAGGGGCCAGCTGTTGGCCGCAGTGGTTAGGCCACTCTTTGGGAGGCCCACACTCCGTATTAGAGTACATGGTTGGAGTGTATTCCCTGGGAGGCAGCAGGTGATGGCTCCAACAGTTGGATCCTTGCCACTCCTGCAGGAGACCCAGATTAAGTTCCTGGCTTCAGCCTAGCCCAGCCCTGGCTGTGGCAGCTATTTGGAAAATGAACCAACAGATGAAAAATCTTTGTGTGTGTGTGTGTCTCTTTCTCTGTGTTTTTACCTTTCAAATGAACTAAAACAAATAAAAATTTACAAAAGAGAGTGGAGGCAGGCCAGCATGTAGCCATTAAGCCACCACCTGCAACTCTGGCATCCCATGTGAGTACAGGTTTAAGTCCCGCTGCTCTGCTTCTGGTCCAGCTCCCTGCTGATGCACCTGGTTAGGCAGCAGAAGATGGCCCCAGTGCCTGTTTGTACCTGCGGGGAAGACCCTGACAATGTTCCAGGCTCCTGGCTTTAGCCTGGACCACTCCCAGCCATTGTGGCTATTTGGGGAATATGCAAGAGAATGGAAGACTGTCTCTCTCACAGAGCTTGGGGTTACTAGCAAGGCTTTCACTCAGTCAGGTCATAGGCCAGAGGCTTTACTTGTTTTCAATAAATCTTTACAACATGTGGGTACTGCACAGGTGATAAAACCAAGGTAGTTGAGTGACCATTCCCAAGTCCCAGCTAGGACCTGTTCTGCTTTGGACACTGGCCTGGGTGTTCCCCCAAAGACCCACATGTGCAGGGCCTTACTTCCTAAGTCTCCTGCTCTTGGACTGGGGTGGATTTCCAAGCAGTCATGGCGTCTGAAGGTGGGGCCCTGGATCATGTCACGTTGCTGGGGAAGGGTTCTATGGCTGAATCCTGGTGGCTTCATAAAGAACCCCACTTTGGACACAGCAGTCGAGTGTGCAACCCACGGCTCTGTTCTTTCTATATATTGCCATCTGACCCTCCCTCAGCCTGTACTTGCCAGCCGCTGCCCTCAACTGACACCACAGTTGCTGAGTGGGATGCTGAGTTTGATCTGCAAACCTCTAAAGCCAAGAGCCTCGGTAGACCTACTTCCTCTCAGGGATTGTAGTTACAGTCATGAAAGGGCACGTAACACAGAAGCAGGGCAGATCCAGAGCAAGAGCCAGTGTGACCCTGGGGTAGGGTACCCAGGGGCTTGGGGGTGCTCTCACCTATTTAGATGGCTATGTACCACTGGGCAGGAAGCACACATCCCTGCTGGCCCTAAGTGCACATTCACATGTGTGCAGCTCAAGTTCCAGCTGTTCCATTTCCAATCCAGCTCCTTGTTCATGCATCTGGGAATGCAGCGAGGCTGGGGGAGTGGGGGAAGGTACTTGGGCCCCTGCCTCCCATGTGGTAAACCCACAGGCAGCTCCTGTCTCCTGGCTGCAGTCTGGAGTAATCAACCCTGAAGCCGGGAAGGAAGGCAAGAAGTTGGACGGCTTAGAAAGGGCTTGCTGAGTCGAGCAGGGTGCTGGGCTTTGTTCCGGGTTTGCTTGTGCAATCTCTCCCTCTCCAGCAAGGCGTCCTCAGGACACTAGGAAGAGGGCTGGGCACAGCGCTGCTGGCCCCTGAGGCCCCAGGGACTGCAGTTGTGCTCCGCAGCCTGGAGCTGGCCCAGCTCTCCCCAGACCTGCTCATCCCAAGGCCTGGCCCAGCAATGCCTTCCTGAGAACTCCCAGCTTCTGCCAGGCTGTGCCATGGCCTCATCGCAGCACACAAACACATACACACACATACCCACACTCCACATGCGGGCAGGCCAGGGGCTGTGGCTGCGGTTACTGGAAGTGGCAGAGTAAGGAGCAGCGGACACTAGACAGTGACAACTTACTTGCATTTTTAGGTCCCCTTCATTTCACTGCCCTAGCATCATCTGGATGCCCAATTTCACCATCTCTTCCTTTTTCCGGAAGGGAATCAGATGGAAGACACTGAGCCCCCTTCCTTGGGGCACCCCAAAAGCACTCCCAGCAGCTGGAAAGCCTCCAGGTCTGCCTTCACCAGTCCCAGGCTGGGCTGGCCCCTTTTCCTGCTGGGATGGGGGCTGGGCAGATCGCCCAGAGCCAAGAGCGGCAACCGCGTGGGGTGGGGTGCATGGGGGAGGCACCACCTGTTGCTCAGCCCAGCCTTGCTGGAAGGACACAGCCCCTCTCCATTGTCATCGCACCATCTCACGCTGCTATATTTAAGACCTTGCGGGCGGCAAGCCCACGTTCTCCTCCCAGTCCCCACTGAACTGAGGACACGAAGAGGCCGGAGAGCCTGTCACCTTCCGTGCGCGTCTCCCCGGACACTCCCCAGTGGGCACAGCCATTTCTGTAAGTGTCAGTCCCCGGGGAGGAGAAGGAGCCCTGGGGAGGGGGCTCTGTAAGTGTTCGGGCAGGTGTATGGGTGTGGAGAAAAGGAGACCACGGCCTGGGCAGCAGCACCGGTAGGAGTGAGAGAGGACGCCCCTCCTGCATGCATTGGGTCCTGTGAGCTGTTGGTGATGCCCTTGGAACCAGAGCCTGGCGTGGGGAGTGGGTGAGCTGGCACAACCGGGAAGTTAAGGACAGCGCTGGCCAAGCCATGTTTGGCCCAGGCGGAGGGAGAGGGCAAGTCCTGGGATCCCGAATCCAAGAGCCAGGAGGGATCTGCTCCAGCACCGCTGGGGAAGGGCTTGCCTCGGCTCAGCACAGCCAGGGCCTCTCGGAAGCCGTGGGAACCCGTGGCTGGCACAACCCAGCCCCAACAGACTCCTTCAGCCACTGCCTCTGCCCCAACCCCTAGCTCAGGACCCAGCCCCAGGAGAGGACCTCCTGGGGTGCACAGCAGGGGCCTGGGTCACAGACCCCTCCCTGGCATGGAGTGCTGGACAGAGGACCCCCTAGGCTGGGAGGGGGGGTGGTGGCAAGGGCAGCAGAGGCTGCACAAACTCGCCCCCCCCCCCCGCCAATCCTGTGCATCAGTCAGTGCTTTAAAAAGCATCAATGGCTCATCTGTTAAAGCCAGGGGTCTGGCAGCTGGTGGCCCAGAGGTCAGGGAGGAGTGCCAGGCCCAGGCCAGTCACAGTGTTAATCAGAAGCTGAGCTTCCAGGGGCAGGAGGCCAGTGCTGACGCCAGCCAGCCTTAACCCTGGGCTCCCAGAGTCCCAGGGAGGCCAGTAGTAGGGAAAGCCCTCAGGTCTCTAGGCTGGGAGGTGTGGGGACCAGGAGCAGAAAAGGGTAGGACCAGCCCTGGGCTGTGTGGAGGAGAAGGCAGAGGGAACACGGCTAGCCGTCTCTTCCCTCCCGAGCAGGCGGGGGCAAGGAGTGGCTGACCTGGTGCCCTCAGGAGCCACTGAGGGGGTGGTCCCAAATCCCAACTAACTCTTCAGTCACCCCCATCTCTGTTCTCTCTGTTCTAATGGTCACCACTGCGGACGCCAGATGGAGCAGAACTGGGCAGAATACCACTAAGGCTGAACCCCTGCTGTCCCAATCCCCTGGTTCCCACAAATCCCTCTCCAGGGCCCCTCTGTGTTAGAAGCCCAAGGAGAGGGCATTTGGTGCTGTGTGCATTGCCAGGTGAGGACGCAATCTACACACACACATGCACACCCCACACACAGTCACACATTACACATGTTCAACACAAAGGATGGAAGCAACCTCGGTTCTTGTCTCCCACAGAAAGGAATTTTCTTGTGAACACTTTCAGGGAGCAAAGCAAGATTTATTGAAGACAGAAAACCTCTTGCCACAGCAACAGGAATGAGATTCTGAGAGAGGAAAGACCCAAGTATTTAGGAGGGCTGAGTTTTTAAAACTCAGTTTTGGGGAACATCCATCATCAGAGGGTGGAGAGCAGTGATCCTGTCTAGCTTGTTCAAAGCAAAGCCATCAGAAAGGTATGCTTGCTGACTTCTTGCTTTCGTTCTTATAAGCGGAATGTTCAGGCACTGACTCTTCACTTTCTCGTGATAAACCAGAGACCCACAGGAATAGAGACTGACACTTTGATCTGGCCAAAGAGAGCTTTGGGGAAGATGAAAGACCTCCTTGCTTGTTTGCTATTCAGTGATAAAACTGGAAACCCAGGGCAGTGCAATTCACACTCCCAAGTCTGCCAACCAGCTTTTGTTCTCTGGCCAAATGGGAAAGTCGGAGTGCATCCTGTGCACTTTTAAAGAAACCCCCCTTTGTAAATCCAGCCAGGAACCTGGCCTTATCTCCTAGTCTAACTCCTTACACACACTCCCATGCCAGCACACACACACACACGTGTGCACAGGCATGCACACCCCGCAACGCATACACATGTGTATACAATACACCCACATGTGTGTGCATACATATGCTCACACGTGTGCACAGGTGTGTGTGCAGACTCACACATGCACACTCACAGTCCGCAGCAAGCCTGGAGAGGCCGGGCCGGGGCAGCAGGGCCTCGTGGGAATAGACAGCCAGGAGCCGAGGCCGTCGCTCTTCTGTTTTTATTCCCCAAATCCAGCGAGGACCTTCGTAATCAGAAGCTTGTGAATGGGGATCCCTGGTTGCAGGTGCACTGCCACCCCAGGACACCCCTAGAGTTGTAAGCTTTAGGAACAGAGGGACTCTCCACAACTCTGGGCTCCGGATCAGCAAGCAACCCAAGTCCGCCCGAGACCAACCCCTTCTGGCCTGCACACTCTGCTTCCCGAATAATCACCACATCACCTTGACCCAAATCTACCCAGCACCCCATCTGTGACCTTGACCCGGGGTCCTCGGAACACAAAGGAGGGTTCACATGCTGAGACCCCCTTCATGGAAGAAAGATCGTATGGTCCACTGTGTCCCCCAGCCAAGACCTGGACACATGACCAGGGGTCAAGAGGGCTAGCCATCGGTCCCTTTTCATGTCCCATAGTTACTAAGCAAAGGCACAGAGGAGGAGGCACTTTGGAGAAACAATGCTAACACTAAGCACCCTAGGGGGATGGCAGACCCATTTCACAGATGAGAACACCAAGTCACACTCAAGGTCACGCATGTCAGATTTTGAACAGGAGTAGAGTACAGGAGGTCTGGAGGAGGGGAAAGCATTGCAGGAGATTAGACAAGTGTGGACAAAGGCCCAGGGCTGGGGCTGAGTGAGCGCAGAACAGGGGAGACCGCGGTCACCTGCCCACTCTGAAGCCCAGAGACAGCCCTGGATGTCACAGTGTCACGTTGCTCAGGGGTCTGGCAAGTGGAGGCCCAGACTGGGGAAAGCGCAACCCAACCTGCAGCGCATGAGGCCGCTGGGATGTGGCAGGAAGCCCCACAAGAGGCTGGCAATGGGGCCTGTGCTCACTCAACCTTGGGCATGCATGGCTGGGGCAGGCCCCGAAGCTGCCACTGCCCCCTCAGGCGATCCCCTTTCCCTCTCGTGCCTCAATGGCCCCCTTTCCTCAGTAGAGAGATCTCCCTCCCCTCCCACTCACGAGAGTGGGCTCATATGAGAAGGGGTGGTGGATGCCTGGGAGAGTGACCATGTACCTTGGCCTTGACAGGTTGTCTCAGTCATGACCCTACCGCACAACCCCGCCAGTGGTGGGGAGGCCCGGCCCCCCCAAGTCGTGGAGGTGCACAAACGGGAGCATCGGCAGGAGGAGGAGCAGAAGGAGGAACGGCAGCACAGCCTGCACATGGGCTCCTCCGTGCGAAGACACACCTTCCGCAGCAGGTGGGCGTGCAGCCCCCCAGCCCAAGGAGGCAGGCACAACCCTGCCCTCTGCAGGCTCCATTTTAAGGGTGGGGAGCTTGGCTCTGAGACTGCAGACTGGGGAGGGAGGCCTGGGTCTAGCTGCTGTGTCCTGAGGCTTGGGCAGCAGCGAGGCCTGTCTGCAGGGAGTCCCTCCCTCCGACCCCCGCCTCCAACCCCTTACCCACACTCTCCCAGCCGTGCAGGACACTAACAGCCTGGCCACTGCCCACGCAGGGAGGAAGAGCCTGAGTTCAGCCCTGCGGACTATGCCCTGGCAGCAGCCCTGGCCCTGACAGCAACCAAGGAGGTGTCTTGGTGAGTGAGCCGACGCCTTCCCATGAGCCCAACATTCACCCCAAGCTAGAGACAGCATCTAGAAGGGAGGCCCAGACTGAGCTGTCCCACCACAGGGCACGTGTTACACGTTGCCTGGGGTTACACGTGTTGCCTGGGGACAGGTCCCCCTCCACATAAGGAGCATGTCCCAGCAGGTGCAAGGGACCCCATCATCAGCAGAGGGCTGGGAGTGGGGGTCAGTCCACCAGCCTTCAAGCCTCTGACTTCTCCAGGGGCTGGCAGGGCAGATAAGCCTGGCAGCCTGGTGACTGGGGGTAGGGTGAGGAGTGGCCTGGGTCACACCCTGGCTGGACTGAAGTGCATCACCAATCCTCAGTTACCCATGCTGTAGAATGGGACAGCAAGAGAGGTGGAGGTGTTGTGCATCCTCAGCTGGCATTATCCCGGGCCCCACCTGAGCCTCACCAGCCTTTGTCCCCCAGGGAAGCCCAGCTGCGGCGCCAGGCCTCAACTGTAGAGCTGGAGGAGCGTGGGCAGAAGCGTGTGGGCTTCGGCAATGACTGGGAGAAGACGGATATCGCCGTCCTGAATACACACCAGCTGCTGCGCCAGAGGCAGGACCGCCATGCGCTGTGGCGGCGGGTGAGAGTCACACGGTTGGGACCCAGTGGGCACTGTCCACTCGCTCACTTCTTCCCGGTAGCCCACTGGACGCCCAGGCAGGACTCTGGGACCCTGCGCCTCCTGACACCCCCAGGCCCCTGCTGTGTGATCTTGGGCAAGCAGCTGGCATTCCTGAGCTTGTCTTCTCATTTGTGTAGTGGGTGTGGCTGCAACAGCTCTTATGACCAAAGGGGGCACAAATGAGACTGCATCTGTCCACTGACTTTCCCAGGGTCTAAGAGACGCTCGGGCAAAGCAACTCCTGACCCTTTTCAGGCCCTTGAAGCGGCTCTACATCCCTTCCCCAGGCACCCCCAACTGCGAGAGTTCCTACCCGTCCCATCAGCCTCATTATATCCCCATAGGGGACCAAAGGGATAGCATTACCTTCCCCATTTTACAGATAAGGAAACTGAGGCCCCAGCCTCTCAGCTGGTAACTGGACCCACCCAGAGCCTGGATGTCTGGTGGAGTCAGGGAGGGGAGGTGGTTCCCAGCTCACAGCCTCCACCCCTCACCCTCCAGACAGAGGAGAAGATCCGTGAGGCCCGGGAGCTGCGGGAGTTGTGTGCCGGCCGCGGGCCCTGGTTCTGGATCCCGTTGCGCTCGCACGCCGTCTGGGAACACACCAATGTCCTGCTCACCTGCACCATACAGGGCTCACCTCCGCCCCAGGTCACCTGGTAAGACGTGGAGGAGTGAGGGGGCTGGGCAGCCCTGCCCACCCCCAAACAGGGCAGCAGCCCCCCTGGGTTATTCTTAGCCTGGCAACCTGCAGGGGGCTGGAGGGCGGAGCAACTGGGGAGCTAGCTCTTGAAAAATATGATGCTGAGGCTTGGGTCAGCAGCTGCTCTGCGCAGGATGTCTCAGGGTCAGAAGGCTCTGACCCGAGTGAGTGAGCAGGAGTGGAGGAAGGGGCCCTGCAGGGGCAGCTGGGATCTGCAGCCAGAATCCTGTGTTCCAAATCGAGCTCTCTCTGAGTCTCTCTGCTAACTCAGCATGGGGTCTCAACCCTTGACCCTTATCCATGCTGGTCCTGCCTCAGTTTTCCTGTTCTGCAGCATGGGTTGGGGACTGCCCATCCACCCACCTTGCACACCTGGAGGATTTAATGCCACCAGCACACAGGGGCTCTCGGGCCTAGAAGGGGGAGACAGCAGGAGACGCCATTCCTGGAAGGGAAACAGTAGCTGAAACCAGAGGCTAGGCCTTGCTGGGGGCATGAGGAAGGGCCAGGGGTCTCCAGAGCAGAGGTGGTGGACATGAGGGTGAGCATGGCCACATCCCTGGGGCCCCATTCTCACCATGGAAGGGGTAGGTCCTTTGCAGTGGAGCTCCAGGCGCTGAGTCCCCAAGGCCCACTGCAGGTGCCTTAGGCGACTAGGAACAAGTCCTAGCAAACATTAACCAAGCACATCATCTACCCAGGCCTCACCTCGGGCTCTAGGGCGGGCAGAAGCTTCCTTTAGGAGGAAACGGCTTCCTGGAGGAGGTGGCATAACAGCTTGACCAGCAGTGAGGAGACCTGTCTGATCGGTGTTGAACTGCAATCGCCTCTACGTTGTCTTGGCATTATTTTCTCCTGAGCCTCACATGTGAGGCGGCAAGGCCCAGAGAGGTAGTGTGGCTGGCCTGCAGTCACACAGCCAGTGTGCCTGGGATCCAGGTTGCAGCTCTGCCTCACTGGCCCAGGAAGGACAGAGAGCAGTTTGGGCTGCTGCCACGCCCCTATAGTGTACACACAGCACTTCAGAAGTCTCTCCAGGAAGCATATGGGCCACCAGCCACCAGCAAGGCTGTCTTGGGGTTTGGGTGCTAGGCTGGTCATTGCCAGCTGGCACTGAATCAAAAACGTGTGCCAGGCACCATTCTGGGTGCTGGGGTTGTGTGGGGACAAGGCAGCTCTGCTCACAGTGCTGGCCCCATGAGGAGCCCCGCTCCTGCTCCAGTCTGCCCTGGTCTGAAGCCGCGTTGCTGACATTCCGTAGAAACTCTTCGAACAGGGCCTGCCAACAAGGTTGCCACAACAGGGAGCAGAGTGTTCCTCACCAGGTTGGCAGCCAGAGCCGGGCCTTCCTCCGGCACTGTGACTCAGGGGCCCCTGTAGGCACTGGCTGTGACGCTCTATCGCCTGTCACCTTGGGCAAGGCCACAAATGACTGCTGGATCAGCCTCTAGCTCACTCAAACCCTTGTAGATGCCTCACCCTGGGCCAGGGGGAAGACCCTGGCTTCTCGGGAGTGGCCATTCATCCAGCAATTATTGGGCACATCCTGAATGCAGAACCCCAACACAGGGCCTCACCCTGGCTGAGGCTTTAGCCAGACAGAGCCAAGATCACTGAGGTGCGGGAGGCAGGGTTCCCCCCTGTGGGAAGGGCTCCAGAGAGAGGAACAGCTCTGCTTGGGGGTACCCCATGAGGGCAGTGAGGCTCAGAATGGTACCTCAAAACCTCAGGCACCCAGGGTGCTGACCAAAGGCCCACCTTGGCCACATCAGCCACAGACTTGGTGCTTGACCTCCAGCTCAAGTTCAACTCAACTGTCTTCACCTTCTTTTTTTAAAAAAGAAACATTTATTTATTAGGGAAAGAGTGCTACACCATAATGCCTGCCAACCCCCCCCCCCCAACACACACACACACACACACACATCTTAAGAAGAAACATAACACCAAATAATGTAGAAGAAAGAAGACTTCAATCCGCTCTGGGCAGAGCGTCTGTCCTCCACTGTCTCACTTTGTGTTGTTTTATTACCGAAGTCACTGAGGACCATCCACACAGCCTGTACCTCTGACACCCCAGAGACCCAGCAGGGTGAACACTGAGGCTGTGCCCTGCAGCGCCCACAGTGCAGCTGCTGGCCAGGCTGAGGTGTCTGGAATGTTCCTGACAGGTGCAGGCTGGGGCCCCGCAGGCTTGGGAGAACTAGAGGGATTGGGTGCCTCTCTCCCTGTGGGAGGCTCCCTTGGGCTCCTCTCCAAGGAGGGCACAGCCTGGGCGGGGCGGGAGGTGGAGGGCACAGGTGCAATGCTGTTTGGTTGTCATGGAGACAAATGGGGCTGTGGGAGGAGTCTGTGTACTAGGATCACTGTGACCTGAGGCTGGGGCGCCCCCTCGCGACAACTCAGTCACCACCACCTTCAAGCTTGAGACTGGCCAAGCAAGGTCAGGCACACAGAGGCCCAGAGGACACTGCTTGCCCAAGATCACGCAACACACAGCATCTCGAAGCCAGGCCCCCCGACTTTCACTGACACCCCCTCCCCCGTTGCCTGACCCCTGGGGTACCCTATGGAGTAGGAAAAAGAGGCCCCAGGGGACCTGGAAAACAGATGGGGTCCAGGCAGGGGCACTGCATGACCACCCTTGAAAATCACCTTTTTAAAAGGCTGATGTCCAGACCCACCCCCAAGAATTCTGGTCTTGTTGGTCTGGGATGCGGCCTGAATGTGCGTTTTGGTCTGGTCTTCAGCAACCTACATAAGTCGGGGTCTACTGTCTCTCTGTATGGCTGCTGGGATGCAGCCAGCCCAGGCTGCCACGGAGGCAGGGCATGGCCACCCAGATGCCACGCAGCTTCCTCTGGCTGTCACTGCAGGTGTAACCATGGCTGTGGCCGTGCGTGGTGGGCACAAGCACCACCTTCCCAGTCTTATGTCTGCTGCTGCACAGAGGGTGGCTGAGCCAGGGTTGTCTGAAGCAGCCGGAGAAGGACACTGTCCCTACTTCCTGTTGACACAGCTGAGTCAGATGCCACACCTGGCTGAGCAGCAAGGAAACATGCTCCGTGCTGCAGGAAGTCCAGCGGTGCATTCTAAGGTTTTACAATGGAAGAGCAATGAGCGGTTTCGGATACAAAGTCTTAAAGCCGATTTTGAAAGCCAGAGCAGAGGGACTTTGCACAGGCCCCTGAGTATTTCTAGCACAAGGAAAAATAAAGGCCAACTGTCACTAGGGCTTGACAAAGGAGAGAGAGAGAGAGAGAATCAGGGAGGACCCCTTCCCTGGCAAGCCCTTGGAGAGGAAGGTGAAGCTAGGGGTTGCCCAGTCAGGGAAGGGGCAGTTCCCACCTCTCTGCCCTGGCCCACTTACAGCATGTGACTGGCCTCATGCTGTGTCCCTTGTGGCCATCATGGCAGCCCTGTGAGACCAGTGTGACATGCCCCCATTGCACAGGTGAGAACAACTGAGGCTCAGGGCAGAGAACATGCTACCCTGGGTCAGCAACCCAGAACTGAGGTTGGAATCCAAATCCGAGAGCCTCTGGACCCCACTAAACACTCCCCATGTCTCCACAGGTACAAAAACAATGTGCAGCTTGACCCCCGCCTCTTCCCTGCTGGGAAGTACCGCATCAGCAACAACTATGGACTCCTGGCCCTGGAAATTAGGAGGTGAGACTAAACGTGGAGCGACTCAGCCCTGCCCCCTCCACTCTGGAGCCAAGCACAGTCCCCAAGCTGATTAAGGGGGAGGCTCCTCTCCCTGGCCCCGGAGATTCCAATTAGGTAGAGCTAAAGTGACCTGTCACACACACACTCATATGTACAAACACACAACAGGGGTACATACGCACATGTAAGCGCACACATGCAAGGCGAGGCAGCCAGAGTAGAGAGCAGGACCTTGCAGGAGATGTGGAGTCTTCCAGGGGTGCAGTGGCATGGAGGGCGCACATGGCACAAGAAGGCTCACCAGAGCACCCATGGGTACCCAGCCCTGTGCAAGGGGCTTTGAGCCTCTACAGAGCAATCTTACCTCTCTCATTATAGCACAGGGGAACACCAGGGAGGATGTCCAGGGACCCCCACCTAAGTAGGGCCTGGATGGGGCCACTGCTTTCACTCAGTCTTGGTGTTTCATTTATGCCAATCTCTCCAGTCAGTGCAGGCCTCAGCAACACACAAAACACACCCAGATCCTACCCTCCAGCAGCAGGTGTCTGACCACACAAGGCCACAGAGTGAGGCAGGCTTTCACAGCCAGGGGAGGGGAAGGGGCAGAGCTCAGGGGCAGGTGCAATTGATCCTAGAAACAGGAGGGATCTCTACCTGGGTGACCATGTGAACAGAGAGGCCACTTGTGAATCAAGGGCCTCGTCTTTCCCAGGGAACCCAGCAGGTGCACTCTCTCCTTTTCAGATGTACCACCGAGGACTCGGGCACTTACACAGTGAAGGTAAAGAATGCCCATGGCCAGGCCTCCTCCTTCGCCAAAGTCCTGGTTCGCAGTAAGTGCCCCTAACCCAAGTTCCAAGCACGCCCAGAGGTATCCCATTCCATCCTGAGTTAGCAGCAGGCAGGACTGGGACTTGAACTTGGCTCTGTATGCAGGATCATTGCTGGCATGGATGTCACCTTTACATGGGCACAGGGACCCCTCTCCTCTGAAAGGACACCATTTTCTCACCCAGGCACGCGGTGCAGCAAGTGGGAAACTGGAATGCAGCCCCATTTTCCTTCTCAGTGAATGCCTTTGTGCAGTTTACAATCTACTCAACTGTCTAAGACAATCCCATCTGCCTATCCAAGGGGCATGCTTACCCCACTAGGCTGGGATAGGGCCCAGATGCTGCTGAGGACCCCTGGGAGGGTGAGCCCTGCCAACTGCACTGAGGAGTCCTTAATGACCATGGCTGGTTTCTACCCATCTCCTACCTGACTGCTCCAACCTGCCCCATTCAGACTCCAATACACATTACCCGATCGGGCTCAGGCCCTGCTAGAAGTTGCCCCATGGCATCTCCAGCCTAAAGCATGGGAGCCACACAGGAGTCCATAGGACCCACTTCTCCTACTGACTCAGCACAGACTGGCAGTGTGGACCTGAACAAGCCACTTCACCTCCATAAGCATGTTTCTAGAAGTGGGTGCTGATAAGGGGACCGAGGTGGATAAGCCTAGTGGGTAGAGGACCTTCAGAAAACTAGGACAGAGCCCCATATGGGACCCACATCGAAAGATCTGGGAAAATGTTATGCCCTGTCCCTGGAGAGGGCCGCTCCCTTCCCTGCCCTGTGCCCTCATGCACCCAGGGCAGGATCCCAGGCAGCTGGCAGGCTGGAGTCCAGCTGTATATCAGAGCTCTTTAAACTGTCCTTCACAGCCCTTCCCCCACAGCACCCCCACCTTGGGCCCTGTCCCAGATAGCTCTTAGGACACAGCTGCTCCAGGCTCCGAATGGAAAGTGGAGCTGTCCCCATAGGCCATGTCCAGAGACAAGCCCAAGGTCAGGTGTGGGAGCCCTTGGCTCCTCTGTCAGCCAGCCTTTCTTGCAGCTTCCTGCAAATTCTGCCCCTGCCTGTGTCAAGGCAGGCGACCCCCCAGATCCGCCCAGCCTCTTCTTGGCCTCTCTTGGCTAAAGCCATGGTCCACACCACTTCCACTCTGGCTATGTTCTCACAGTCCAAGTGCAAGGCCCCGGGCTGGGAAGCGAGGGTCCTGGGTTCTAATCCCAAGTCTGCCCCCTCTGGATGTGGCTCAGGAAGAACCCTGCTGTGTGGCTCTGCCTCAGTTTCCCCGTCTAGATGAGTGTCAGCGGCTCTTGTCATTCTCTGGTGATCTGTATCACGTGAACTGGGCTTTCACCTGTAAGTTTCCAGATGGTTCTCTCGGTATCACCCCTGCCTCTGTCAATTACCCTGACCCCACCAGTCATTCCATTGTCTTCAGCTGGGATTGACCACTTTATGAGCAGTGTGGGATCCTGGCAGCCACCGGCAAGTTTGGGCAGAGGAGGGATATCCGGGGTCCCTGAGTCTATCCTGGGCAGGCTCTGGCTGAGGGATGCGGTCAGCCTGCCACTGTCAGTAGGAATTACTGTCCCATTTCACGGGGGAGGAAACTGAGGCACACAGTGGTCATCAAGGGCCCGAGCCCAGGAGAGACGTGGCATTTGAATTTTCTCCAACTCCATTTGCTTTGGGTTTTCAGCTTACCTGGGGAAGGAAGCTGGCTTTGACTCGGAGCTCTTCGGACGTAAGTGGGCTGCAGGAACAAGGCATGGGTTTCAAGAGAGGCGGGTGTTGGGGACCCTTTTGGGGACAGGGATCACTGTGGGGCTACACCCTGGTTTTAGGGGTCCCAGTGCTCTCCAGGACTGCTTCAGCTGCTGTGCTGACGAGAATTGGGGCCAAACAGCCACATCCAAAAGACAGATGAACTTGGCCTTTGAATGTTTGCTATTTCAGCTTGGCTGGTCCCTCAGCCCCTTCTCTTCCTAAAGGCTTCCTTGGGGACTATGAGTCCTGACCCAGCAGTGTGATGGGATGCCCTGGAGGGTCTTGGTTTCTGTCTGAGACGCAAGCCAGCCAAGCCAGCTAAGATGCCTCCTGCCCCAACGTTCTCCCAATTCAGGGTCCATGTTTGGCCGCGATGTGGAGTTCACGTCAGAGCTGAAACCGGTGTTTGCCCGTGAGAAGGAGCCCTTCTCCCTGGTCTGCACGCTCTCCGAGGACCTGCTGGGTGCTGAGCACAACATCCTGTGGTTCCAAGATGGTGAGGGCCATGTCCCAGAGTCCCTGTGGCTCAGCTGTCAGGCCCAGAGCTGCAGGAGCCCTGCTCCACTGCCCCGCCCCTTACCCTGGAACCTCACCTTAGCCCTGGGCAGCTGTGGATGCTGCAGAGGCACCATCAAGTGTGATCCAACAAGTCACCATGTGAGTGGTCACCATGCATCTGCAGGGGGCTGGGCTGGGCTGCGCTGGGCTGGGGCCAAGCAAGGGGCAGGGCTGGACCAGTCTGAGCTTGTGGCCTGCAGATCTGGGAGGAGCAAGGCAGCCATCAGCACACACATTGGCACCATCATGGCCTACATGCATGTGTGGCTGCCACCTGGAGTGAGGGACTACATTGGCCTCAGCCAGGAGGGTGGCTGGCACTCTCAAGACATGTTATGGTGCTTGCCTGGGACCACCCAGAGTCAGGCCACTGACTCAGCAGTTAGGAGGATCCTGGGGGGTGCGAAGAGTCAATGTGGGGGCAGACTGCTTATCTGAAGCAGAAGAGATGGCTGGGGAGGGGGAAAAAGGATGGCCCACCTCCCACCCTATCTTTGATTGACCTGCAGCCAAGGAGTTAAGAGTGCGGCTGCTCCAGCCCCAGCACCTGCTGGGAAGAGTGAGAGATCCAGAAGGATTTGAGAAGCAGCTGAGAGGTTTCCCAGGCTGCTGTGATGACAGCAGGGGGAGACTCCACACTGTCCTCAAACCCACAGGTCCTTGCTGGGGCCCCCACACCACCTAAGGTCCCACCCAAGGCTCCACTCCCTCGATGAGCCCCACTCTCCCAACAAGCCCCTGATGTCACTCCAAGACCTCTCCCTTTCATCAGGCCCCCTAACTCGAGGATGGCCCCTCTCTCTTCTTCACAGGCCCCTTGATCTCTCCGTCCCCCCTGGAGTGCCCTTCTCACAGGCCTGCCCTGCAGTTTAGCACACACCAGCCTTCTACCTCTGTCTGACCTCCCCCACAAACTCACATGGGACCTCCTTCCCCTCCCCTCAACAGGGAGGCTGTTGAGGCCTCTGGGCCGCCGGCAGACCCTCTACGCAGACTGCCAGGCATCACTGAAGGTGTCCTATGCTTACAAGGAGGATGAAGGACTCTACACGGTGCAGGTACCCTCGCCCTCCGGGCCCCGGCAACAGAGCACCTACGTGCTGGTACGAGGTGAGAGGGCTCTGGGCAACCTATTTCTCTGCAAAAAAAGAATGGGCTTGTTGGGCTGAGATCTTGGGAAGAATTCCCATGCAGCATATGCCTGAGCTGGGGAATGTGGCCTGGGATACTTGGGTTACGGGTTCATATCTACCCCCTGGTCCTTGAGCCCAGTCAAGGTTCAGGTCCTGGCGGGGTCACTTCTCTCTGCTAGACTCAGTTTCCCCATCTGTGCTTGGCAGAGCTGCCCTAGGCTCAGAGATGGTTTCTGTCACACCCTCAGTGCCTGCTGGGGGATGGCACTGGCATCCCCCCACCCCCAGCAGCTATTGTTGCGGGGTGGGGCTGTTGGTTGGGCTCTGGTCTTCAAGACCAAGATCAAGTGCTGGAGGGTGAGCAGAGGGTGCCAGGCAAGAAGGGAGAGGGATTGTGGTCACACAGCCGGTGGCTAAAGGGCCCCCCACCCCACCCCGGGTTTCAGATGCTGCAGCTGAAAAGCCGGGAGCCCCAGGCTCACCGCTGAACGTCCAGTGCCTATGCGTAAACAGAGACTGCCTGATCCTGACCTGGGCCCCGCCCAGCGACACCCGCGGCAGCCCCATCACTGGCTACTGCGTGGAGCGGTCAGTGGGCTTGCCCTTGTTGGTGGTGTTCTGTTGTTGGGGGGATGATGGGCCGGAGTCCAGCTCCAGCTGAGTTCGGAACTCGAGAAGGGCGCGTGGATGAGGCGTAAAGAGGAAAGAAAGAGACGGACCACTAGGACTTCATGATCATAATGGACCATGCATGAAAGCTGTCCGCTTTATTTATACAAAATCAGTCAAATTCTGGCTCAGACTTTTTACCAAGTGGGTGTTTCTAAGGATAATTCTGCCATTAGTTTTACCTAGAAACAATAGAAGTTCCTGCTAACATTACCTAGAATTTCCTGCTAGGATTCTTATCCTACAACTCAATCTTGTACCACAAAGAAAAGGGGAACTTAAAGATCAAGGAAAGAATGAAAGCCTAAATACAGGTCCCTTGATTAACAAAGGTTCAATGGGGACAGCCAAGACAGTAGGAATGATAAAAGGCCCCATTTGCAAGACATTGACCTCCAAGCTCAGGCTGAGCAAAAGGTTAACCTCGCAGTAGCAAATGCCAGGATGGATTAGAATTCTTCCGCAGGGTGGTCCAGTGTCCATGCAAAAGAAGGTGGAGTTGCATTCAGGTGGTTGTAGAGACATCCCCCGGGTGGGCCCTGCCGAACAGCGGGAAATTCCCTGCGGCCCTGCCTGCAATGGAACACTCTTCACCCCCTCATGTCCCCCACATCTACTGCACGGACCCCAGCAATGATGGGTGTGAACAACAGCAGGAATCTCAGGGAAGAGGCAGCACCAGGCCCTGACTCCGAGGATCCCCTGTTGCCAAGCCACTTCCCTGGACACAGGGCAGGAAACAGACTGCCCTGCTGACCTCGGGAGCTGGTGTGCCTTCTGGGCCCTTTACAGCATGCACTGAGCATGCAAGAACAAAACAGCAAGTGCTCAAGTGCTAGGAACCTGCTTATGTGCCAGTTTGTTGGTGATTTTCCTCCCCAAAAGGCATGCAGAGGTGGAGTGGCTGGCACGTAGGAGGGAAGAGCCATGCCTTGTGGGGTTCACTGCATTGCCCCCCAGCACCTTATCCCACTTTATCCTTCAGCAACCCCAAAGTAAGGTGTATGGAGATTTCCTAGCTCCCTAGACTATAGATGAGAAAACTGAGGCCCTTGAGGAGACAAGATCTCATGGCTCATTGGTGGAAAAGGCAAGACTTGTACCCACGTGCACCCACTGCCCCACCACAGGGCACAGGAGATGCACAGTCCTGCTGCTTGGAAAGTGGTACTCAGGGGCACATATAGGGTGTGCGATGACTTAGGAGCAGATGGTCCTCAACTGAAATCCTCACTTTGCCACTTTGGAGCCATGTGTCCCACACTCTCCCATGCAGAGTGAGGCATCGCCTAACTCCTGTTCCAGGTTCATCAAGGGGGGAGTTAGTGAGAGGATCCCAAGGTTGACCCCAGGCTTTGAACTTTGGTGAGTGGGACTTTGATTGGAAGAGAGGAGCTGGGCTCACAGCCAATAGCAGAGATATGCCATATAGAGGCTTCAGCTGGGAAAGTCTGAGTCAGGGGTGGGGACTCTGAGCTGGGTGCTATCTCCCACAGGTGCCAGGGTGACTCCGGAAAATGGGTACCCTGCCACGAGACCCCTGGGGCGACCTGCCGGTGCCCAATCCAAGGCCTCATCGAAGGCCAGAGCTACAGGTTCCGGGTGAGAGCCATCAACAAGGCAGGCAGCAGTGTTCCCTCCAAGGCCTCAGCAGCGGTTGTCATGGGAGACCACGATGCTGCCCAGAGGAAGAAAGGTGAGTGATGCAGCCCCAGGGACATCTGAGGGCCTGAGTCAGGCACGCTCAGGACCACAGCACACAGCAGGCAGGTGCCAAGTCCCACCCCCAATTCCCCCATTAAATAAGGGAGAAGCACAGTGCTGTCCTAGAGCCATGGTCTGATGGAGGAGGCAGTGTTGTCCTCAGCAAGTCAGCTTCTTGTCTCTACAACAAATGCCCATGAAGAAGCCCCTTAGGAAGGAAGCGGGATGAACTCCACTTGCAATTCTGGACTTCCGCTCTGACGTTGGGGCCCCTCGGGTCTGGGGTCTGAGGAGTGAAGATGCATGCAGGCAGTGAGGCAGGGCACACGCACCTGCTGCAAGGCCTGTGTCACTCATTGTCAAGCACACTGATGCATTCACAGGGCCTCCACCCTCTCAGATTCACCCAATGCAACCACGCCCCAAGTTCTGCTTCAGATGCCGTAACTGGATTAGATCTGGCCTTGATCCATGACACTCTGGGGATTAAGACTTTCAAACACAAGCATTGGGGCACACCCAAATTGTCATTCAAGCCATGACAGGAATCCCTAGTCTGAGAGAGACACGTTCTAGCCTTCTAGAACCCCTAGTCTGATGGAGGAGACATGGTCCTGCCCTTAGGAACATCCATCCTAGGGAGAAGTGTAACTTCTCTGATGGGAGGAACCAAATCTGTCTACGAGAGAAGCCAATATGAGGATGACCCATAGTGGCTTCATCACACACCTTTACTCTGTAGGGGGAAAGCAGCCCGTGGGACCCCCCCAGCTTGGGTTTGCCCCAGCCAAGGGGGCCCTTGGGGTTGAGTCTAGGTCCACTTGGCCTGGGACACAGAGTGTGTCTTCCAGGGACACAGGGCTCCCCCGTGGGCTCCAGAAAAGGCTGAGGGCCTGGGAGCACCTGCATGAGGTCACACAGTCAGGCCGTAAGGCCAGGCCCAGGCAGGGCGGGACCCAGAGCTTCTGCAGCGGGCAGGCCCTAGCTGACTCCCTAGGACCCAGCCCTACCCAGCTCTACTCTCCTTTCTAGAGATCCTCTTCGACCTGGCAAAGAAGATCACAATCAGCACAGACGAGTTTGAAGGTATGAGGCCCCTCCCAGAGACCCTGGCATGCCACGCCAGCTTCCCATGCATACTGGAGACCCGGAACAGACCAGCAAAGCACAGAGGCCCCTATGTGCCTGGTCAGGTGTGGGGTACTATGGGCCCTGGGCTCTGCCCACCTGGAGGAAGTGGCATGTCGGGAAGAGTCCTAGATGGGACAGTGGGGTTCCTGAACTCCAGTGCCGGCTGTGCCCCGCCTTGCTGGGTGACCTGACTCATGTTCCTGCCTCTCTCTGGGCCACAGTTCCTTCCTTTTTACAGAATAAGAGGGCTAATCTGGGTGGGGGACTGTCTGAGGGCCCCAGCCTTCTCTGCCCTGGATGATTCTAATTGCAGATGCTGTGACCATCCCTGGGCCCCCCACCAATGTCCACGCCAGTGAGATCCGGGAAGCCTATGCGGTCCTGGCCTGGGAGGAGCCGAGGCCCCGAGGCAAAGCCCCACTCACATACTTCCTGGAGAAGGTGGGCCACCGCATAGGCTCAAGTGCAGGTCCAACCCCGCCTGTGAGACAGAAAACAGGCTGAGACAGGAGTGTGGGGGAGGGCACAGGGCCTGCTGAGGCTCCAGGGGCACCGTCAGGGATCCTGCAGACAGCTGAAGTCAGTCCCTGCCCAGGAGTGTGGAGGCAGGGCAGTGATGAGGTGGCCTTCTACAGGTGCTGCCTGCCCAGGGTACACCCCAAGACCATCAAGAAAGCACACACAAGAAAGAACCAGGTGACCCCAGGTCACAGGCTTGGTCAAGCTCCTCTTCCTGGCAGGCCACACTCCAAGGGGAACTAGGCTGGTGACCCCCTAACCCCCAACCCCTGCCACCAGCCGGGGACACAAGGAAGGGTACTAATGTGGACAAACTGGGGATCGTGGTTGGGGGTAACCAATGGGATGGCTCAGGTGTAGTGGCTCCACAGTGCAGAGGCAGCAAACAGCACATGCACCCAGATCCAGTCAAACCCTGGCCAGTGATGGGCCATCCTGAACTGCTGTGCCAACTTCTCTGAGCCAAAGCCGTGCTGTGGGGTGGAGTAGAAGCCAGCACGCAGCCAGGGCCAGCAGCCTCAGTCTGCAAGGGTCTCTCAAGGAAGGATGGATGTGTTCATTCATTCATTCAATCAAGTTTGTACTAGTTTATTCATTCATTCAAGAGACAGTGTACCCTCCCACCGCTGGCTAACTCCAGATGTCCAACAGCTGCACGGGAGGTCTTCACACTTCTCCTCGGGAGACATTCCTGTACATGCTTACTCATTTATCTACTTGTTTATGAGGCAGAATGAGAGCTCCCGTGCCTTCATGCCCACAACAGCTGGCCCTGGCCAAAGCTGGGGGCCAGGAACTCCATCTGGGTCTCCATGTGGGTGGCATGGACTTCTTGGGCCGCCACTGTTCCCTCCCAGGGCCCATTGAGCAAGGAACAGATAACCAGGCACTCCAGAGTGGGAGCACCTCCACCACTACCTCTGTGCTCCCCTGCTCTATCTAGGGAGCCTCTGCTCTCCCAGAAGCCCAAGGCGCGCCCCCTGCTGGTTGCCCCCTTGGCCTGGGCAGAGTAGATAGTCAAGTTTCAGCGAAGTGATGAATTAGAAAGGAACGGATTCCCAAGAGGGGCTTGGGCTCTGCTATCCATGTGGGCCTCTTTTCACACTCCCCAGTGATGAAGGAAAGCTGCAGGTAACTGGAGACTTAAAAAAATATCTGACATCATTGAAGGAAAGACTGAAAAGTTAAGGAAGGCTAGCCGGATAACTCGAGGAGAGGATGGTGGCCTCGGTCAGGGTCATGGGAGAAACAGGAGGGTGGCAGGTCATTGGATGAACGCTGAAGGGGAAGTCAACTGCTGCATTTGCCAGGGGAGCATATTTGGGGAGCGAGGGGAAGAGAAGAGCTAAGGACACCTCCACAGTCAGCCCAGGGAACAGGAAAGATGACTGCTCCAGCATAGCGCAGGAGGCACAGGGTGGGGGAATGCTCCAGAGTTGGGGCTTGGGCTCACTGGCCGACAGGAGATGCTCTGGATGGAGGTGTCCAGGAGGCGTTGGGGATAGGGTGGCCTGGGCCAGGGACCCTGCATGGAGCCCCAGCTCATCCCCTGTTTCTTGCTCGCAGTCGGTCCTAGGCAGTGGCACCTGGGAGGCCATCAGCCCAGAAACGCCCGTGAAGTCTCCGAGGTTTGCCCTCCTGGACCTGGAAAAGGGGAAGACCTACGTCTTCCGTGTGCGCGCAGTGAACCAGCACGGTGTGAGCGAGCCCTCAGAGCCCAGTGAACCCATCACCTTGAGGGGCAAGCCAGGTACCTTGGGCTGCAGTCAGGGCCGTCAGCATCTGGGGCATGAGCCGTACCCATGTCACTCTCCACCCTCTCCCCGGGGGCATCAAGACCTTGGTCCTGCAGTGTTCAGAGCCCTGGGCAGGAGGGTGATGGGTGCAGGAGTGTTTTCCCCATATCAGCCATGTACAGGTTGAGTGGGTCCAGCCGAGCCCCCACGCAGGAACTTACTGTTCCTCAGTCCCAAAGGTCTCTGGCCGGCCCCTTGTGTTCTACCTGAGCTGTCCCCACCCAGTCCTAGGGACCCCAGGCCAGGATACCTCCCATCTGCAGGCCTGGGCAAGCCACATCCAGGCTGCAAACCTCACTGGTCTCACTGGCTGACCTCTCTACTCCAAAGACCCCAATTATACTCCCAGCCCTGACTCTTCACTGGCTCTCCCAGCCGCAGCTTCACCCTGACCTTCACCCCCCAGGTCCCTCCCCGCTGCTGCCAAAGCCTCTGAATTTTGGGGCTCCCAGAAGTCGTCCTGTAGCTGCCATCATCACTCAGACCTTTAGGACACTTAGCAACAGTGTCACCTGCCAGAGAAAAGCTGGGATGGCAGCAGGTCCTGGTGGCATTGGTTCCCAAAGTCTAGGACTTGCTCTGCCGCCATTGTTTAGGACAAAGAACACACATGCACGTGTGCGTACACACAAGCATACACACATATACACCCACACACATGTGCACACATGTGCTCCTGTACACGCTCACACAGAGTGAACAGGCTAGCCAACAAGCAGTGTTTGTTCTTAAATCCAATGTGGCCACGCACATTCCTGAACCACAGGCAGACCCACGCAGAGCCGAATCATCACGTTAAGATGATGACCCGACACACATTGTCTCCTTGACGCTGGGTTGGCAGTGTCTGACAACTACTCCACATCACAAGTCCCTTAAGTTCAAGTTATCACCTTTGGGGAGAAACAGGTCTTAGTGGCACATGGGATCCCCGAGGGGCCTCCCTCCTGCCTCTCCACTCAGCCAGCTGCACCCATGGCCACTGTCCTCAGAGCTGATGCTCACACTGCTAGTAGGCCCTTCCAGAGTCCAGGACACGCCCTCAGCAAGTGCACTGCCCCACCTCGGGGTCAGCCCTCGGTAACTTCAAGATTGAGATTGGATGGATGCTCAGCTTGGTACAGAATGCAACCCAAACTGGTTGGAGGAATTGCTGTTGGATCCCCAAAAGTGGTCTGGCTCACCTGCCATGCTGCAGGTCAACCACTTACTCCACAGTGGCAGAACAAAATAGGTGCAGATTTCAGAGCCAGGAGGTGGGCAGCTATCGCTTCATTCCCAGGATCCATGAGCAGTCAGGATGGAGACTAGAGCTGGGGTTCAGGAGTCCATGTTCAGCTCCTATCCAAGCCCCTGGTCACTCTGCAGTGCTGGCAACCCTCCTTCAATTGATCAGGGATGTCTTTTAAAAAGTGACCTATTTATTTATTTGAAAGACAGAGTTAGGAGAGAGAAATGATTTACTCCACAAATGACTACAACAGCCAGGGCTCGGCTCAAGTGAAGCCAGGTGCTTGGAGCTTCATTCGGTCTCCCATATGGGTGAGACATTTTCTGTTGCTCTCCCAGGCACATTCATAGGGAGCTGGACCAGAAGTAGAGCAACCAGAGTTCCAATGGCACTGATATGGGATGCTGACGTGGCAGGTGTAGCTTATCACATAACACCAAAATCGTGTCTTTTAGAAAGTTTCAATGAAGGTAAAATGGCTCTTGTCAGTGTGAGAGCTACAGGCAGGCAGCAGCTACCTACTACTTGAGGCTGGGGGTCCTGGAGAAGAAACCCCTCAAGAAGAGACCAGAATCAAGATGTTACCCATAGCAGAAATCAGTGACTGCATGAGTCTCATGTTCAGGGACCCTGTAGGATCAGCAGTCTTCCTCCCCCAATCCAGGGAGCAAAACAGGTTGATTTGCAATCCTAAAAGTAAGACCAAGGGAATTTTCAGCTGAGGAACAGCGAGCAGGACATGGTGGTTTCCAGGGTACATATCCAAGGCATTGCACAGTGGTTAGGTTTCAAGCTTATCCTTTTTCCATTGACTCTGAGGCAACACCAGCACACAAGGAAAGGTGGTCAGGGACAACTGAAAGGTGAGGCTCTGAAATTTAGAGAAAGCCAGATTGGGAAAGAGCAGGGCCTGCAGAGAGGGTGGGAATGCAGGCCTGAGACTGGCAGGAACAGGTCAGGGAACAGAAGGTGTGAGGAGCCACTGTTGGGCACATAGGGGTGATGAGGGCCACCAAAGAATGTGCAGGGATTGGGAAGGAAGCAGCCTTGGATGCTCATACACCTGCCAGCTGTGTGTCATCCACTCATCCTTCAACCAAGGTACACCAGGCAGCGCCCACTCAGGGGGTCAGGAAAAGTCAGCACAGTTCTGAGGGAAAAGAACCAAGTTTTCTTCAGACTGAAGAAGAAAGCTGTTAGATGTGATAACTTCAGAGAGAGGGGCTGTACCAGTCACTTTAGGTTACTGCTATGATCTCCCTGGGAAAGCGAACGTACACGGACAAAAGTTTTGTTCAGCTCACAGCTTGAGGTTGGTGCACGCTCCGCAGCAGGTGGCAGAACACAGAGAGTTCAGAGAGAGGATGTGTGGTGAGCTGGGAAACAGACAGAAAGGTGGAGCCCAAACTCTGGCCTTCACAGCCACCCTCCTGGGCCGACTCAGGAGTTCACAGGAGACCCAGCTTCCACATACATACCCCACCCTTCTCCCCAGGAAGTGGAGAGACCTCAACCCAAAGCTGCCTGCCTCCCTGGGCCTGGGGCTCCTGCATCACCCCCTGAGTGCCAAGGGGCTCCTTGCTGCCCCCTCACCCCACCCACTGGGTCCTCAATCACCTCACCCAGCCCTCTCTGCTTTTCAGCTACGCTCCCTCCCCCAGCTCAAGTTCAAGCTCTCCGAGACACGCAGACATCTGTCTCCCTGGTCTGGGAGCCAGTGGATGCAGGCTCCGAGCTGCTGGGCTACTACATTTATGCCCGGGAGGTGGGGTCGGCGGAGTGGCAGACGGTCAACAACAAGCCCATCCAGGACAACAGGTAGGACAGCCCTTGAGGGAGGGCCTATTATGAAAGTGCAGCTTCCTGCTCCCCGGGACAAGAATCCCTGGGACACCATTCCCTGGTCCAAACACTATCCGGAGCACCCACACGCACACAGCAGGTCACCTGGGTCTTAGAACATGTGTCGTGGGTGCATGCATGATGCATGTGCAGGACTGTCATTTCTTAGCATGTTTCACAGGAAGGATTCCCAGCTCACAGCGCTAATTAGTTGCCCACATTCCCTACACTAGTGGAGGGGCTGGGACTTGAACCTGACAGTCTCTTTTCCAACAAACACTCCATGCAGGACTCCGCATGTGGGGATGGCTATGACTGGGCCCTTCTGGAAGCTTCAGAGTCACAGATAGGTGGGTGGGGGTAGAGTGGGAGGGTGCAGGGCAGCCAGAGAGGGCTGGTTCAGTCTGCACACCCACCCTGCCTCCCTGTCTGTGGTGTCCTGCAGGCAGAACTAGCCTTCTCTGGGCCTGTCCCTTCCTCCATGGGCTGGAAGGGTGGGACAGTGGACCTGTCCTCTTGACCTTCCAATTCCCACTGTGCTCAGAAGACCCCTTCCTGAGATCCTTAGGTGAGGCCCAGGCTGCTGGGCCAAGCCTCTAGCAGGCTGAACCATCCAGATTTCGACCAGTTAGCTCAGAATCAAGCTTACCCCAAGAATAAGACTTTCTCTGCTTGCATTCCCAGATGTTAACGGGGGAGAGGTGTCATTGTGAATGCAAACTTGCCATGGCAGGGACATGTTCCCCCAACCAGGGCCACAGGCTCCACTGGCAAATCCAGAGAACGGAGCATATGTGGGTGTGTCATCTGCCCCAGGTTTTAGCAGGAGGGCTGAGGGCATGAGGGGCAGCCACCTGGACTATATGGCTTGGTGTGTGTACAACAGGGTGGCCACACCCCTGAGAGCCCAGCGCACAGCTGGGCCTCACCAGTGTCTACTTGAACAAATGAATTAATGAGGGACTAAGGATGGAGGGATGAATGAATGAATGGATGAATGGAGGGATGAATCAATGAATGGAGGGATGAATCAATGGCTCAGCGGCAAGTGGGCAGGTGGTATGCTGGTGCTTGGGAGACCTAGCTCAGGTCCAGGATGCACCCCAGTAGGCTGTGGGCTCTGGGCATACCTCTACCCTAGCTGAAACAGAAAGTTCAACCCACAAGGGCCCTTCCCACAGCCTCATATCCAAGACTTTCTGCTCAGCCCCCAGCCGAGTCAGGGGTGAGAGCAGAGCCCTCCTGAGGGGAAGGTGCAGACTGTAACCTGTACAGCCATCTCTCACTTAAAGCATCATTTCCATCTCCTGTCCACAAGACCTGTCTGTCCACAAGGCCAGGTGCACCTGTTTAAGTACCTCCCTCCCCCCTCCAGCTGCTTCCTCGCTCCCTCTCCCTTTCCACGTGGGCAGGGGGATCGAGGCTTTGTGGCATCCACTGCCAGTGGGACTTAACTCCTCGGAACCCCCACCCCTGGAACCGCTGGCTAAGAGGAACTCCCTATGAAGCAAGACGTGAAGCTGGAGCGAGACCCACAATTTGGGTTTGATTAAGAAGGGGTTGGGATGTGCGGTGACATGCAAGCTAATCCTTCATCTGCAACTCCAGCATCCCATCTGTGCACCCATTCAAGTCCTAGCTGTTCCACTTCTGAACCAGCTCCCTACTGATGGTCTGGGAAAGTAATAGAGGATGGCCCAAGTCCTTGGGTCCCTACAGCCATGTGGGAGAGCCAGAGAAAGTTTTTGGCTCCCAGCTTCGGACAGGCCCATCTCTGGCCATTGCAACCATTTGGGGGATGAACCAGTGGATAGAAGATCTCTCTCCCTCCCCCTTTCGGTAATTCTGACTTTCAAGTAAAATAAATAAATTTTTTCTAAGGAGGGGAGTGAAAGAAGAAAAAGTTTTCTTTTTTAAAAATAAATTTATTTATTTGAAAGACAGAATGTAGAGGGGGGAGGGAAGAGACAGAGAGACAGAAAAAGAAAGAGAGAAAAGAGAGAGAGAAAATGCTTCCATCCAAATGTCCATAACAGCTTGGGCTGATACGAGCCAAAACCAGGAGTCAGGAGCTCCTTCTGAGTCTCCCATGTGGGTGGCCAAGGCCCAAGCACCTGGGTCACCCTCCATGCCTTCTCCCACTTTAGCAGGGACCTAGACTGGAAGCAAGGCAGCCAGGCCCTCTGATACAGGATGCCAGCATCACAACAAGCAGATTAATCCATCGTGCCACAGCATCAGTTCTTCCCCAAGCCAGAGTGCCCAGTGCATCTCTGGATGGTGATGCTTGCTGGGGGTGTCTGCAAGGCCTCCATGCTTTTATCCCAGCATGGGTGCACACAGCAGCAGCCATTTGTTCTTTGTAAAGGATGCCCCAAAGCCCAGAGGCTATGCTGCTGAGCTGTGGGATGGAGCTGGCTGCCTTCCCCTCAGTGAATGTTACCCCAGATTGCACCGCTACAGGCTCTGGCAATGTTGTCCTGGGTCTAGCACCATGTAGACCCTAGTTCCTGCTTCTTGGAACCCTCAGAACTCATGGTACAGGAGGTCACTCATTCTACTAGGGGATTCTAGAAGGCTCAGGAATGTCTCCAGGCTGCTAAGGCCACCACTGCTAAGGGCTGTGTTTTCCTCCACCAGGTTCACAGTACCCGGGCTGAGGACCGGCAGGGAGTACGAGTTCTGTATCAGGTCCGTCAGCGAGGCTGGGGTGGGTGAGAGTTCAGCCCCCACCGAGCCCATCAGGGTCAAGCAGGCTCTGGGTAGGTACATGGGCAACCCCGGGCTGCTCAGCAGGTTGGGGACTCAGAGAACATTTCTGGGAGGGATCAGCCCCAGCCACCAATGGGGTATGCATCCTTGAAGGGCCCAGCAGCTGGTGCTGACCCTCCCACCCCCTTCCTGGGAAGAGGCCTGGTCAGCTCAGAGGGCAGGAGCGAGGAAGCCCACAAAGCCTCCAGGACAAGGATGTTCAGCCAGAACCCCCTGGAGCTGGGTTACAGGGAACACCTGGGAAGCATCCTATTCCCACAGGCCCCTTCCCCACCAGGTCCAAGCCAGCCACCCCTGCTTGCCTCCCCATAGCTACCCCATCTGCCCCATACGACTTTGCCCTCCTGAGCTGTGGGAAGAATGAAATGGTCATCGGGTGGAAACCCCCAAAGCGTCGTGGAGGGGGCAAGATCCTGGGCTACTTTCTGGACCAGCATGACTCAGAGGAGCCAGACTGGCACCCGGTCAACCAGCAACCCATCCCCAGCCGGGTGTGCAAGGTGAGGCTGGTACAGAGGGAAGCCCTGGGCTGGAGGCCATAGTTCTGGCCTCTGGTCAAGGGCAGGACACACTCCAGCAGTCCTGCTTCAAGCACCACAGGGAGCTCAGACTCTGGATTCCTCACCTGCCCCAGCTTCCATCTTTATAGCTTGCATCTCTGTTCTTCAAGGTCAGTAACCTCTGTGAAGGCCACTTCTATGAGTTCCGGGCCCGGGCGGTAAATTGGGCAGGTGTTGGTGACCTGTCGGAGCCCAGCAGCCTGTTTGAGTGCAAAGAGTGGACGATGCCACAGCCAGGTGAGGACCCAGAGGTCTAGGCACAGTCCCTCACTGTCTCTCATGGCTCCAACAGAGCCAACAAAAAGAGCGTGCACTCGGAATGCTCTTACACACACTGGGCTCTCACAGCCCTGGCCTTCCACCCACCGACCCTGTGTCCCCTGCCACAGGCAGCCTCCCAACTCTGCTACTTGACACTGACTCTGGCCACGGTTAAGGTGACCAAAGGGTCACAGTTTTTTAGGGGCCATTTAAACATCCCACAGCCAGAAACCCCCTTGATCCTGGATGCCCAGGGTGGCTGGCGACCCCACATGGCACACTACTCCCTCATCCAAGCCTCACTCCTGAGTGTCCAAGGAGGGACACTCACAGCCTTGCATGTCTCTGCCCCGTCTCTCATCTCCTGCAGGGCCCCCCTACGACCTACGGGTGTCAGAGGTACGGGCAACCTCCCTGATGCTGCAGTGGGAGCCCCCACTGTACACGGGTGCTGGGCCAGTCACAGGCTACCAAGTCAGCTTCCAGGAAGAAGGCTCTGAGCAGTGGAAAGTGGTCACCCCAGGTCCCGTCGTCGGTACCCACCTGAGGGTGAGTCCCCACTCTGTCATGTTCTGGCCAGCTGAGCCTTCTGCTGGACATGGCAGAACATCAAGGCTGAAACAACCTTCACGGTCACTTCCTCACTGAATGGCACAGAAGGCTAGAGAGGCAGAGTAACTTACCTGGGGTCACACTGAAAACTGGTAGTAAGTCTGGCCAACTGCTGAACTTCCTCAGCTCCATGCTGGGCGGGCTCCCCTAAAAACTCACCTGACAGCCGCCAAGTAGGTCAGCATTTTTCACCTGTGTGTCTTGACTCACATGGTGCTAAAGCAATAACAAGGCGGCTGTGCAGAGTCCCCAGGACAGCACCACCCACTGTGCCATTGTCTACAATGGCAAAGCTGGAGACAAGCTAAATGCCCATCAGCTGACGGTGCTGAACTTCATTGTGGTGTAGCCTTCCAGCCAAGTCCAGGCCCAGATCCCACAGAGAACAAGATGGTGTAGGGGGTAAACAAGGATGGGGGTGGGTAGTGCAGGTGCTGTTCAATTTGCTGAGGAACCTATCGGAGGTGGAAAATACTGCCAAGCTGGAAATGCATTAAACACCCCTGACCAATCCCACTCAGCCCAGCTCAGCCACACAGCCACACAGCCACACAGAGTTTCCATCTGCTGGCTCATTCCCCAGATGCCCACAATGGCTGGGGCTGGCCCATGCTGAAGCCAAGAGACTGGAACTCCTTCCACGGTCTCCCATGTGGATGGCAGCGGCCAAAATACTTGGGTCATCTTCTGCTGTTTTCCCAGGCACATTGACTAGGAGCTGAATCAGAAGTGAAACAGCTGAGATATGAACTGGCACTTACTGGGGATGCTGGCATCACAGGTGGCGACTTTACCCACTGTGCCACAACATTGGTCCCAGAGGCTAATTTTTAAGTTGACCATTTAGGTATGGCCTATGAATGATGTTATAAATATCCAATGGTCCTTAGCAAAGAAAAGTTTCCCTACCTATGGTGTCCCCTCACTGCCCCACAGCTGACCAGAAGCTGCCCTCACTGCCCAGCATTGCTGGAGAACAGCAGGCAATGTAGGGAGACATCCAAGTTCAAAATTCAGAGCGAGGTCTCAGCTGACTGACAGTAGCTTTGACACTGTTGTAGCATCATAATGCTAGTCTCCCATGAGTCATGAACCCCCGAGGTACATGTGGATGTGAACACACATTTGTCACATGGGTATCAGCAAAACAAAAGCCAGAGTTGTCTAGACTCATGCTCGATAGTGTATTATGTGGAGAGCTAGATTTTGTTGTAGGTCAAATACAGAAACTTGGATGCAGATATGACAGTGCTTGCAAAAGCTTGCAGGAATCAAAGTTAGAAGACAAGCTTAATTTTGTGAAGAAAAAAAATTGAAACCCATACCTGGAAGATGGATCCTCAAAAAGTCCATGGATTAAATGAACAAAGATGAATAAGAGCCAGTATTGTGGCATAGTATCCCATATGGTGCCAGTTCATGTCCTGGGTATTTCACTTCCAATTCAGTTCCCTGCTAATGTGCCTACAAAAAGTAATGGCAGGTGGCCCAAGTCCTTGGGCTCCTGCACCCATGTAGGCCACTTAGGAAACTCCTTGACTAATTCAGGTGAGGGGCGTGATGCTTCAGCAGGACTGGGGTGCTCAGTGGAGGGCTTTTCCAGGAAGCCTGGGGGAAACTGGGAAGATGGAGCAGCTGGGACTTGGTTGCTGGATGGGGAGGGTTCAAGCAGAGGCTATCAGAGGTGATCCTGGCTCTCTTGGATGTCAGACAGCGATGGAGAAATGAGGGAGGCAGGAAGTGGAGGAGGGGGAGGCTTTCCTGTTGGGAGGTGGATGGGGAGTGGATCCTCGAGTGGGTGGAGTTCAGGGGGCCACCTGCCAGGCCATAAACCAGATTGAGCTGCCCATCAAACAGCAGACATTAAAGCTCCAGGAAGGCTGTGCTCCAGGTCCCTTCCCCCAGGCAAGCTGTGCTCCCTTGGGGTGCCACAGTGAGTGATTCCCCCACTCAAAGCTCACTCTTCCCCTCCCCCTCCTCCAGGTGTCCGACCTGCAGCAAGGAAAGAGTTACTTGTTCCGGGTCCAGGCTCTCAACTCAGCTGGCCTGGGGCAGCCATCGATGCCCACTGATCCCATCCTCCTAGAAGACAAGCCAGGTGGGGTGTCCAGAGAGAGCCAGGGCACCCTGTTGGGTAGGGAGCAGAGAGGAGCAGCAGAAGGATGTACTGCAGAGCCCCTCTCCCTGTCTGGCCACAGTCTCTTCTGCTCCCTGCTCTCCCTCACTCTGTTCACCCGGGTGGATGCTGAGACAGGAGCATGGCTGTTCCCCGTGGCACAGCCGTGGATCCATCCCTTGTGAGGTATCTCCGTGTAAAGCACCCTGGTCTCAGCTGCTGTATGTGGGCTGGCCTGTCTCAGCTCCTCAAGCCCTCTCCCACTACATCCGCACCAGGTGCTGGACTTGGTCCTCATCCTGCCGTGGGAGAGATAGCCCACCATGCTTCAGGAATGAGGGGTGGGAAGAGCCGAGCCTGTGTGTCATTTACCAAGGCCCAGTGCCCCCTCCCTTGGGTTTCACCCTCAGATGCCCACGAGATAGAGGTCGGCGTGGATGAAGAAGGCTTCATCTACTTGGCTTTCGAAGCTCCCGAGGCCCCTGACTCCTCCGAGTTCCAGTGGTCCAAAGACTACAAGGGCCCACCGGACCCCCAGAGGGTCAAGATCGAGGATGGAGTTAACAAGTAAGTGAGGGGGGGCCCTGCACTGTTGGAAGAGGGGGCAGAAGCTGGTACACAAGACCACCAGAGGGACCCATGGGCAACGATGTGCTGAGAGGGGGAGGGGTCTGGCTCTGAGGATGCTGCCTGTTAGGATGAGAGGGGCACAGTTAAGGGGCTCAAAAAACAGTACATTCACTCCTTTGGAAATACTTATTTGTGTTTTTCTAAATGTATTTATTTGAAAGGCTGAGTTACTGAGAGAGAGGTCTTCCATTAACTAGTTCACTTCCCAAATGCCTGCAATGGTCTGAGCTGTGCCAGGCCGCACCCAGGTGCTTCTCCTGGGTCTCTCACATTGGTGCAGGGGCCCAAGCACTTGGGTCACCTTCTGCTACTTTCCCAGGCACATTAGCAGGGAGCTGCATTGGAAGGTGAGTAGCCGGGTCTCTAGCCAGTGCTCATACAGGATACCAGCAAGGCAGGTAGAGGCTCAAACTGCCGCTGGCCCCTGGTGATCTTTCTTTGTAAGGAACTGTGTGTGCTCTGCCTCAGTCTCCCCTCGGAGAGACTCAGTCCTTGGTTTCCAGTTGCTCTCACAAACTCTGCGGGATCAGCTCTGTGACCACAAGACACCCAAGAGACACTGCTTCTAGGGAGAGATATACTTGAGCTCATGGCTTTGGAGGTGCTCAGCCCAGGAGGGGCTGGCCCTGGGTCTGTTGTCCCCTTGCAGAGTCCCAAGGTGAGGCAGAATACCACGTGGCAAGACGGAGTACCCAGGCCCCCTCCTTATAAAGCCAGCAGGACTCTGTCATGGGGCATCCACCCTCAGCATCCAGATCCAATCCAGTCTCCCAAAGGCCCTGCCTTTAAACTCCATTACTGGAGTACATTTCCGCCTTTCCCTCTCTGTCAGCTCATGACTTCATTTTGTTTTAATGCTTTATTTGAAAGACAGTGAGAGAGAGAAAGAAATGTTGTCTACTGGTTTACTCCCTGAAAAGGTCATAACAGCCCAGGCTGAATCAGGCCTGGAACTCCATCTACCTCTCCCAGGTGGGTGGCAGGGGCTCAAGTATTTGGGCCATTGTCTGATGCTTTCCAGGAGTATTAGCAGACAGCTGGATCAGAAGTGGAACAAACAGGACACAGAACTTGAACCAGTGCTCACATGGGATGCCAGAGTCCCAGGTGGCAGCTTAACCCACTGCACCACAACACCCATCCCTCTACTCATAACTTTAGAGTCCAAATTCCACCAAGAGTTCTGGAGCCCAAGGCTGCTCAAGCCATCACAGCTTCCTTGTGGAGAGCTGGGTTTGGAGGCAAGGACCTCTGCCCCAGGAGCTCTTGACCTCAGCTGTGACCCTCAGAGACAAAGCCAATCCCCCGAGGCCTGTGAGGACAGGGTGAGACACCAGCAGGGAGCCTGTGTCCCAGGGCCTGGCTGGCATTACAGGAGCCAGGTCTTAGGGGTGCCCCGGAAGCATCCTCTCCCCTCCCTGCCTGCTTCCTATCTTGGACAAAATCTGGGGTGAGACTGAGAGCTGCCGGAGCTGAAAGAGAACTCTCACTCCCTCCCGGGCTTCCAGTGCCCAGTCCCCAGGAGCCTCTGCTCTGCCCTCTCTGCCAGGTCCAAGATCATCTTGAGGGATCCAGGTCTCGAGGACGTGGGCACTTACTCAGTGGTAGTGACTGATGCCGATGGAGACATCTCCGCAAGCCACACGCTGACCGAGGAAGGTGAGGTCCCTCGTCCCCTCTACCTTCCCAAGAGGGACAGGATAGGGAGGGGGGCACATGAGCTAGGTCTTAGTCTCAGGGAGACAGAATCCATGCCCAAGGCCAAGACCCATGGTGTCACCAGTGGCCCCTGGGAGCAGGAGCTCCTCCATCGCACGTGGTGTCATAGCACAGCATCTGGGTGCCTTCCACCTGCAGAGCTCACTCTGGTTTCTTCCTCACCCAGAGCTGGAGAAGCTGAAGAAGCTGAGCCACGAGATCAGAAACCCAGGTAAGCTGAGCCACCACCAGCCTCATACAGCTCCCAGCGAGACCATTGAGCAGCCCTGAGTCTGGGTGGGAGGAGAAAAATCCCTGGGGGGCAAGAGTGGGGAGAGGGAAGAGACAGAGACCAGGGAGTTTCCTGAAAGAAAAGGGCTGGCACCAGGGAGCCAGCGGGGTGCAGGAGGGCAAGGTGGCCAGGGGCTCCCTGGAATCACTGGAGCTTTGCAGTCATTTGGGCTGTGAAGGCTGAACCTCTGCTTGGCTGCACGGAACTGCCCAGGGGTGGGGCAGGTTAGTGTGCGCCCCCAAGACTGGCCACACATGAGAGTCACCCCCAAAGCCTTCCAAAGTCTCCACACCCTGGCCATGCCCAAGACACATCTGAGAGTGGAGCCCAGGCAGCAGAAGTCCCTGGCATCCACTGCTCAGCCCGACAAGTTGAGTACTAGGGCCCCAGAGCCCCTGGGAAGAAGCTTGGCCAAGACTATGTCCAGAGGGTCCTTGCGGACTTCCCTAGGTCAACAACACACCCCGGGTGCAGTTGTTGGGGAGAAGGACAGGGTTGAGCACACCCCACCCACTCCCCTTCCCCCTGCCCTTTCCTATCTGCCAGTGATCAAGCTGATCTCCGGCTGGAACGTGGAGGTCCTAGAGCAGGGACAGGTGAGGCTCTGGCTGGAAGTGGAGAAGTTGTCTCCGGCTGCAGAGCTGCACCTCATCTTCAATGAGAAGGAGATCTTCAGCTCGCCGGTAAGAGGCACTTGGGGCCCCCAAGTGATGCACCTGCTCCCAGGTATAACTCACCCCCATCCCCTGCAGTGATGCTCCATGGCAAGACCCTCATCTACCCGTGAACATTCCTCTCTGGCCATCCCTGGGTGGGGATGCTGCTCCCAGTGGCCGGTTTGAAGGACATGCCCACAAATAAGTTCCCATGCTCTCCACAACATGTGGACCTTCCACCAGACTGAAGATTAAAAAAAAACCTGCATACATACTAAGAATTATGAAGGCCCAGACTCTCACTTGTTTTGGTTTCACACACAAAGCCTTTTTGCATGGTTTTGGTTGCTGCTGTTGTTGTGTTCATTTGATGATTCGTTTATTCATTTGAAAGGTAGAATGACAAAGAAAGGAGAGAGAGAGAGAGAGAGAGAGAGAGCGCTTCCTTCTACCAGTTTACTCCCCCAAAAAGGCTGCAACAAGCAGAGATGGACCTGAGGCCCGGAGCCTAGGACTATCCTGGTCTCCTACATGGATGGTAGGGTCCCAAGGACTTGGCCATCTTCTGCTGTTTTCCCAGATACATTCACAGGAAGCTGGATCGCAAGTGGAATAGCCGGTACACAAGCGGGTCCTGGCTCCAGCTTGCGATGCCAGGCAGTAGCTTTATTCGCTGTCTCGTAATGCCAGCCTCTTGTAGTTTTAATACACATGGATAGAGAACATCAGAGAACATCCACATTTCATTCTGTTGGCCGCTCGCCTAGGCTTACCCAGTGCCGCTTGCAGTCTTTTTGCCTCTCTTCCATACAACCCATTACAAATCAATGTGGCACAAACAAGGCTCCATGCAAGCATGTATGTCCTGAAATGCATTGTTTTATTTCAACTGCCTTTTATACCCTCTCAACAGAGCATTATACTGATTTGATCTAAAATCGTATTGTAGACATATGGTATTAGATCAAGCCCTGTGAATTGTGATTTTTCAATTACTTTTGCAGCAAATGTGATTCCATTCTGCGGTTTGATCTGCTTTGTTTGTGAATTTCCTCTCCAAATGGCAAGACAGCCATCTGTGTCCTGGGGAGAGGAGCACGGGGCCTACCCGGCAGAGGAGCTCTGGGGAGATCTGCCCATCCGTGTGGGCTCTCCGACCTCAGGCAGGGCTCACCACTGCTGTGTGCCTCAGTGACCTGCATCTATACAATGGGCCTCATGAGAACAGATGAGAAAGTAGATGCGAGTGTTCTGAGAAGGTAGGGCAAGTGGCCCACAGAGTAAAAACCTCTCCGTTCCATGCAGATTAAAACTGCAAAAAACTCTGCATATGCACCTGCCTTGGAGAGTAGATTTGAAAGTGCCACATAGAGACAGCGCCATAACCTCCAGCACTCGCCACGTGGTCCAGGAAGGGTCACCAGGAGTTTAGAATGTACTCTTGGGGGCTCATCAGCTGCCCCTTGAGGGAAAAAAATCACAGGCCACTGCCTACACACACACACACACAGCCAGGCAGAGTAAGAGTGTGGAAACCAAACTCTAAAACTGCTAAAAGTAAGTGACATCAAAAAGGATAATGTGACCACAGCGATTGCATCATCCCTCGGGCCAGCAAGTCTGTAGCTGCTTCTGAAATGACTGCACATTTGAGGGGTTACTTTTTTGTCCACCAAAGAGTAGAAAATTACCCCAAATGTGGCAGAACGAGGGCTGGAAGCTGATTATCAAACTGTGGTTAACTCACTCAGTGTGCGCCTCCCCTTTACCTGCTGGGCCCTGGTGGGATTCCCAAGGATAGAGTGGGAACCCCCATTCTATATAGTCAGGGAAGGGCTCCCTGGGGACCACAGTCCTTGGAGACTGATGACTGTGCACCCTACAAAGGCGGAAGCACCAGAGGCCTGTGTGCCCTTGTGCCCCCTCCCTGCAGAACCGTAAAATCAATTTCGAGCGAGAGAAAGGCCTGGTAGAAGTGATCATCCAGAACCTCTCAGAAGACGACAAAGGGTCTTACACTGCCCAGCTGCAGGACGGCAAGGCCAAAAACCAGATCACCCTGACGCTGGTGGACGACGGTCAGTCCACACCCCTGGCCTTGTCCTTGGCCTCTGGGGCCTGCTGTGCGCACCCCACATCCTGCCCTTGCCTCCTCTATAGACCCCAGCTCCCAGCTAATCCCAGGTCCTCCCCCGGTTTGCAGATTTTGATGCACTGCTGAGGAAGGCGGATGCTAAGCGGAGGGACTGGAAGAGGAAGCAGGGTAAGCTCTGGCATCCAAACTTTGCAAGAGAACAGGGGAACTGGGGTAATGGGGCCACACGAGTGTGCCCTGATGTCTGTCTAGTTCTGTCCCAAGGCTACAACAGTCAACATAGACCCAGTCCTGAGATTGGCCACCCCCTTTAACTTTGCCTCCTTCCAGTCCCCACCCTGGTGGGAACAGCATCCTCAAGCTCCCTGATCCAGCCTCCAGGGGGCATCCCAGCTGGACAGGATGGGCAGACATGGCTTGTCTATCACTGGCAGGTCCCTATTTCGAGGAACCTCTGCAATGGAAGGTCACGGAGGACTGCCAAGTGCTGCTGACGTGCAAGGCAAGTGCACACCCCACCTCTGGCCCTGCTGCTGCCCAGTGGGGGCAGGACTTGGAGACTGGTCCAGAGTCAGAGGCCTGCCCTGCCCATCCCCTAAAATACTATCCCCTGAGCTTAGCTGGCCCACATCCAGGGCAAGCAGCCCAGCAGACTCCACTGAACCCCAACGCAAAGCCCCCTTAAAGAACCTCAGTGACAGGGTCAGTGTGGGGCGTGTCCACCTCCCAGAAGCTCTGGAGGGGCTCCATGTCACCAGGGTTGATGCCCACCAAGGATCCCTGTGTTTAAGCCTTGCCAGACATGGTACCCCAGGCGGCCTGGTACTGTCTGTTGTCATCTCTTCACTGTCCTCGGAGAATTCAGTGTTCCTGGCTCACTTTATGGGTGAGGAAACGAGGAGGGAACTAGCTCAGACTGGCACACAGGTGCTACCCAAGTCTACATGACTTCAGAAGCCCAGGCCCTGCTCAGCAGCCTGCAGCCTCTTTAAGGAACAAAACCCTCAGGGTGAGAGGGGTGCCCACTGCCTGCACCTGCACACAGTAACCTCGAAACCCCTGCCTGGTACTGGACACATGGAGGAGAAGAAGCCACCTCCTTGGGCCTCTGGGAGCCAAGAGGCCAGGGCAGGGTCCCTGCAAAGTCGCTCAGCTCACACGTGATTGAGAAGGGTAGGTGGAGGGCATTCTGGGGTATCTCCAGGAAGACTTCCTGGAGGAGGTTGCATCTAATTGAGCAAATAGAGAAGAGCAGGGCTCCAGAGGCCAGGGGCACACTATTAGCAGAAGTCCAGAGCCTGGAAGCCAGCCAAGGTAGCACATGGGGTGAAAAAGGAGATGGGGCCCGAGAGCGTGAGGATGGTGCAGGAGGAACATGGGTTTATGAAAAATCTCTGATGAGCTGAGCTTCCGCTTGGAGAGAGGGAAAGCTTGATGGAGTCTCCTCATTCTCTGCCTTCCCCAGACAACCAACACCAAGAAGGAAACTCGCTTCCAGTGGTTCTTCCAGAAGAGGGAGGCCCCGGCTGGACAGTACGACCCGGAGACTGGGAAAGGAGTTCTGTGCATTGAAGAGGTGAGTGTGATTCCTGCACTTGCAGCTGTCAGGCGCATGCTGGGCAGTGCCCGGAACACAGGGCTGGGAGTCCACAGCCTGCCCAGGATTGGGCAAGGCAGGTGAGCACTCCTGCTGGTGCAACATTTCAGAACCTCAGGAATGAGGATGGCATTGTGGTGTGTGTGGCCAGTTAAACTGCTGCCTACAACACAGCATCCCATGTGGGCACTGGTTCAAATCCCAGCTGTCCCACTTCCAATTCAGCTCCCTACTAATGTGCCTGGGAAAGCAACTGAGGTTGGCCCAAGTGCTTGGGTCCCTGCACTCATGTGGGAGACCCAGCCATGACCATTGTACTCATTTGGATAATGAACCAGCAGGTGGAAGATCTGTAACTCTGCATTTCAAATAAACAAAATGAATGACTCTTTAAAAATAAAAGGAACAGGTAAATTATATTATATGCAGTATTCTTAAAAATCAAAGTTAATGCAAAAAAAAAAAAAAACACCCAGCCAAATTTCCCATGGCAATGGGATCAGTGTCCCTGGGTTTTCCCTTTGCTGCAGATCCTGTCCAGGCCCTTCCCCTGACTGTGCAGCCCAGGTGGCACCTGCAGCCTCAGGGAGTCCTGGACTAGGCAGGAGCCGAATACAGGACTTGTTGGTTCCCTGGTGCAGCCACTAAGCTCTGCGGCCTCACCCAGCACCAGAGGGAACCAGAGTAAACCAGCTCTGCTGACCCGGAAGGAAACAGTGACCTCAGGTCTTCTCCAGACACTGCGTCTAGCCCTGGGTCACCACTGGACAAGCTCCTGGAAAGGGACATGGCTTCAGGCAGGTTCTCTGTAGCCGAGGGGTTTGGCTACGATCCTGGTACCACCAGGGCTGAGCCACCTCCCCATCATCATTGCCACTGACACACAGAGATGGAGCAAGGATCAGGCCACTGTGTTACCAACAGGTTAAACTAAGTACCAAGAGACAAGGCAGCAAGCAGGGCCAGAGGACCAAAAGTCACTCCCACTGAACTCGCCGGATGTGGCTGAGACTTCAGAGCCTGCCTGGGTTGGGGGGTGATGGGTGCATGTGGAAAGGAAACAGGAGATTTTGGGGTTTATCCCCACATTTCCTGGGGTGAAACCTGGCTCCAACCCTCCGTCATAGAAAGTGTGTATTATAGAGGACTATGGTGGATTTCAACCTAAATATAAATTTGAATTCCATTTTTCCATGAGCTTTAAAAATATTTATTTTCATTTCATTTTAAAGACAAAGAGGGATTTTTTCTTCCATCCACTGCTTTGCTCCCCCAAATGCCTGCAACACCTAGGGCTGGACCAGACTGAAGCTGGGAGCCTGGAACTCCAGCCAGGTCTCCTGCATGGGCAGCAAGTGAGCCATTGCACATCAGCAGGCAGCTGGAATTGGAAGGGGAGTGAGGACCCAGCTCAGGCACTGTGATGCAAGGTGGAGGTGCCCCAAGTATCATCTTCGTTGCTGTGCCAAACGCCTGGCCACCCTGGAGGAGGGGCAGCAGGCAGAGTGGGCAGCAGGCACAGAGAAGTTCCACCTGAGTATGTGTTGTCTGCTGCTGCCTCAGCATTGCCAAGCCCAGACCCTCGCCAGGCAGCACTCCAGGGGGCCTGGAGCTGTAGCCCCCACAGGCTGCCCATCCCACATGGGTAAACTGAGACCCAGAAAAAGGAAGGATCACATTGGAGCGCACTCAGTCCTGGAGCCCAGGACTCCTGCTGCGCTGTCCCCATCTCCTCCTGCACCCCCAACACGATCCTCTCCCTGTTCCCTTCCAGCTGTCCCGAGAGGACAGGGGCATTTACAGAGCTGTGGTGGCAGACGAACGAGGAGAGGATGACACCCTCCTGGACCTCACCGGGGAAGGTAGGAGCTGGTGGGACTCACAGGGAGGCTAGGAGCAGGAGACGGTGATGTGAGCTGCAGGCAGAAACCTACAGGATCCCCATTATCACACGGGGAAGGTGAGGCACAGGAGGCCCAACAGTGTGGCCGCAGTTACACAGCAAGTCGGTGGTCGGGGCCTGGGGTGTGATTGACACCCGCAGCCTGGTGTCTCAGGGGGCCTGAGGTCCCTCCTGCGGCACAGCTGGTGAGGTGACTGCCCTGTGGACATGTCTGTCCTCCTCCTGCGTTGCGGTGGCTCAGGACAGAATGTGCCAGCCCCTCCCCCTGCAGAGCTCTGTGTTCCCAGAAAGCATCTTGAGAGCGCTACCAGTGTGTCCCCACTGCAGGGCACCCACACCAGCTGACTGTTCTCTCTGATTCCCTCCAGAACTGGACACAATCTTCACGGAGCTGGGCAGGATCGGGGGTAAGCAGCCTGTTTATGTCCAGTCTGGCCCACCTCTACCCACCCTGGTGCACTTCCACCCAGCCTGGCCTGCCTCCGCCCAGCCCAGCCCACTTCTGCCCAGCCTGACCCACCTCCACTTAGCCCATCCTGCCTGCACTCAGCCCAGCCCACCTGGCTATTCCAACGTGGCAGAGGAGCTCCGGCACCCTGATAGCACAGTTCCCCTCCACACCCTATCTCCCCAACATGAGGCCACTCAGACTGGCTCCTATCTATGCTGCCCAAAAACTCACCCTTCTCCTGTCTCTCCAGCCCTCTCTGCAACCCCCCTGAAAATCCAGGGCACTGAGGAAGGGATCCGGATATTCAGCAAGGTCAAGTACTACAATGTGGAGTACATGAAAACCACCTGGTTCCACAAGTAGGTTGACCTTGCCCAGGAGCCGTACCTGTGCTTGCAATAGTGGGGCCCTCCTCTCCTCCCATCCTGCCCAGTACTCCCAACAGAGCCCAGTCACAGGGTAGGGGTGGGGCAGCAGCAGGAGACACACAGATCTCTTGCTGGCCCTACTGCATTCTCCAGGGGAAGCTAGGACAGGGAGCAGCAGGCAGGAAGGGCTCTCCCAAGATCCTCCAGGGAAGATGGGAACTGTGATGATAGGAACACTTTTCTGGAACAGTCACAGCTATAGCAGGATCCCAGCCTCAGAGTTAACATCTAGGAACTAGGGAAGGGAGGGGAGCAGCCACAGGAAGAAGCAAGCAGTCAATGATTTGTGGTGTCCATGTGGGCTGTGCAGCCTCAGCAGACTTGGGCAACCAGGCTCAAGAGGGATGGTGCAGGCAGAAGGACCTGTGCAACTGAGAAGAAACTGAGGCCCAGAGCTTAAAGGCAGGACAGATGAGGATTCACACAGAGCCAGCCAGGAGTTACATTGTCCCAGAGAGCTGGAGAATAGAGCTGCCCCAGTCCTCGGCAGGTGCATGCCTCAGCCTTGTGGGGCAGACATCATTGCACCTGTTCTGTGGGGAAGGCCAGGCTGACGTGGTCAAGTTTGTCAAAGGAGTGAGAGGCAGGGGACAATGGTCTCCTTCCCTACCTGGCCAGAATGACCAAGTCCTGAACCCATCTATATGTGATACAACAAGGCCCAGAGGCATCACATTGATAGCCCAACACAGGGGACTTGGATCAGGTGTTTCCTAAAGGTTATGGAAGAGTTAGGGAGGTTTAAGAGGAAGAAATGATGAAGAGGCTCCTGGAGTGGCGGTCACTGACCCTGGAGGGACATTTGTTCAAGGTCCCAGGCTGCAGGAAATATCACAGACACAGCACTGCTGAGAGGTTGCTAAGACACACAAGCTGATTCATGAAGAGTTGGATGTGGAATGAACACACAGTTGCCTCGTAGTCAGAGGGTGGGATACATGTTTCTCATGAATGATCCCTACCCTGGGGAAAGAGAACCCGAGAGAGCAGGGTACACCGCAGACCCACAGGTGGCCAACTAACCGCTCCTCTGGCGACCCTCTCAGGGACAAACGCCTGGAGAGCAGCGAGCGGGTGAGGGCCGGCACCACCCTGGATGAGATCTGGCTACACATCCTCGACCCCAAGGATTCGGACAAGGGCAAGTACACACTGGAAATAGCTGCTGGAAAGGAAGTGCGGCAGCTCTCTACAGACCTCTCTGGGCAAGGTGAGCCACCCACACACCCGCCTGCCTACTGAGAAACTTGGGTAAATGGTATGAGTTTAGCAGGTGGGGATGCTCCCCCAGCCTCCCACCCGGGGCCTGGCCAGGCTTCCAAAGGGAGAACCATCAGGGCTGAGCTGTCCTTGGGGGTCACCCAGCAGAGGTGCTGACACTCACCTCCTCTGCCCTCCTCACAGCTTTTGATGATGCTCTGGCTGAACACCAAAGACTGAAGTGAGTATCCCACACTTTAAGAACCCCTCCAGGGTGTGGCCCTCCCAGTGACTCCCTCCCCCTTCCCCTGCCAGATCCACCCTGGACCTCTGTGCCTTCTCGGCTTCAGCCCCTTAACCCCAATCCCGGCAGGGCTGTCCCTGCATAAGCAAAACTACCACTGTTCCCATTTCTGTTTTTCAGAGCCTTGGCCATCATCGAGAAGAGTAAGTCCAGCTCTGGCTCTGCTTTTCTGAGTGATGCCAGGCAGGCCTGCTTCCCTGGGGCTCAAGGTTCTAGATCGGCTGCTTCATCTCCACTGCCCCCTGGGATACTGGGGACACCTGGATGGTGACAGCAGCTCCAAGGCAGTTAGATGCCTAAGGAGGTGGGAGATATGTTGAGATCATGGGTCTGGAAGTATGTAGCAAAGGCCTGTGGTGCCAAGGGGGCAACATGGATGCAACCCCAAAGGCAGGAGTCAGAGAACGAGCTGCAGCTGAGACTGTTGGGGACACCAGAATTTAACCTAACCCAGGACATAATCCCAATCACAGCAGGACACAACTTGGCCCCATGCACACAGGTACCAGCATGGAGACACACAATGTCCCATACCTCCTACTTCTGAAGCCCATGATGCTATTTTAAAGATTTCAGTCAAAGTGATGAAAATAGAACAGGAAGAAAACCTTGCTTGGGAATGCAGCTCAGCTCTGTAGGGACCTGCTTCTGGGAGCAGGTGGTAGAGAAATGCTCACCTCTGGGATCTCCATTCCAGATCGCGCCAAAGTGGTCAGGGGCCTGCCGGATGTGGCCACCATCATGGAGGATAAGGTACTGACTCTCCCTGGCCTTGGCCAGCCACCTACACTCATGTGCCCCCATGCACCCATTTGCAGGTTATGAACCATGGTGCTGAGTGGGCTCAAGAGCAAGCAAGGGCAGCCTGGCCAGCAGGGGTGACAGCCCAGGGACCCCCCACTTCAGCAATGGCATGGGGTATAAAGGACCTGTGTGGGTGCCCCACCCAGCTCTAGATAGCTCTGGGCTTCATGGACTTGTATCTGTGAACTTGGCTTTTCAGTGGAAACATCCCTACCAGCCCTTCTAGTCTTGCATTCTGCAAAGAGCTCACCTTGAGCCAGGCCCTCTTCCAACTCTGCTGCACATTTTGACTAATTTTACCATCAAGGCTTCTCCTGCGAGTGAGGATTCCTGGTCAAACTTAGGGCTGAGGGAGGTCCAGAGTGGTTAAGGCCACACAGCCTGACAGGACCTGGGCGTCCAACACTTTACACTGCAGCACGCTGTGTCAGTGCTTGTTGGAGAATGTTCAAACTTACTTTGTAAGTCATTTGTTCTAAAGCAATACCATCCACTTGCATGGTGAAATCATAATGACATTCATAGGACCAAAAAAAAAAACAGTAAAGCAAAGTAGGGAACAGATAATTGCTGATCTGAAATCCTAACAGATAAATATTCCCCAAGAAAGGCTGAGGCTGAAGAATGTGGAGTGAAAACAGAGCACTTCTCCCCTTTAAGGGCTACAATAACATGAGTTTAGCATGAGGAGCACCTTGCCCTGGGAGCTCTCTGGGGTCATGAAGTTGCCAAGTTCAAGGTGATGAGATGGTTCTCTTCCTGTCCATTGAAACAGACCCTGTGCCTGACCTGCATCGTCTCAGGGGACCCCTCCCCTGAGATCTCCTGGCTCAAGAATGACCAGCCTGTAGCCTTCCTGGACCGCTACCGAATGGAGGTGAAGGGCTCAGAAGTCACCATCACCATCGAGAAGGTCAACAGCGAGGACAGCGGGCGCTACGGGGTCTTTGTCAAGAACAAGTATGGCTCCGAGACGGGCCAGGTCACCATCAGCGTGTTCAAACACGGGGATGAACCCAAGGAGCTGAAGAAAATGTGACGGGCTCTCAGGCAGGGGTCACAGCTGGGCATGGGTCAGAGGGCAGGGCGAGGCTCTCAGGCAGGGGTCACAGCCGGGCATGGGTCAGAGGGCAGGGTGAAGGGAACAGGGGTAGGTGGGAGCCAGGGCACAAGGGAGAGGGTGGAGCAGATCTACTTAGAGGAAAAAGCAAAGACTTGGCCGGGTGGTGCAATTAGTACTGGACTTGGAATTGGAGACCCAGATATAAGATCCATTTCACCTCTGAACTCCGTGCGCCTTGCCCTTCATAGCTGTCAGATGGGCGCTCCTGCCCCAGGGATTGTTTCTTAAAAAGCCCCTTATAGTTGGCATGATAGCGGTCCTCGACAGGAGGCAATTCTGCTCTCCGGCGGGAGACATTGCCAATGTCTTATTCCTGCCAGTCATGACTGGGTTGTCTCTTGGCATGTGGGAGAAGCCAGGTCCTGCCCAACACCACAGCCCCACCACTCAGACACACACCCAACCCCACATGGCAGCAGTGGTAGGCTCACCTGACAACAGCAACACTCCTTTCCAAGGCAACTCTGTTTAGATTCATGTAAGTCCAACTGGCATTCATTTGGAGTCTAGCCTATGCCAGGCTGGGGGTAGCACTGGCAGTAATAGGCAGGCCTGGCCACAAGCAGATCTCAGTCCAGTAGGACAGAAATATCCAGCGTGAAAGACTAGAAAAAGGCAGGTGATGGTCAAGATGGTCAAGTAATATGTTGCAGTGGTCAGAGGAAGAGACTGATAGCTGTGTCTACCAAGGGAGGTCATGCTTTGAAATGCCTTCCTGCAGAGGGCAGAGCCACTGTCAGGCTCTAAAAAATGAGTCCGACGTGCCAGTGGTATTGGGAGGACAGGTCAGGAGCCAAGGTGACCAGGCAAGGGCAGCTGCCTGGGCACTCACGGTGCCAAGCTCAGAGTGGACCATCTTTAGGGCTTCTCCCAACACGAGGCCCCGTCCAGGGTGACCCGTACCGGCTGGCCTTGCTCAATGGGTCTCAGGCCAGAGCTAGGCCCATCCCTACACTCCTCCTCCCCACCCCTTGCCCCATTCCTTCCTTTAAAAAGTAACATGGTGAGATTATAAAGTTACAGATGTCTATTGTAAAATTTCAAGAAACTTTGGAAGTGATGAAGCCCAAAATAAAAGCCAGCTGTACCCCCAACAGCAGGAGCTAAGACCTGCCTCTGCTCTCTAAAACCACTGCTGAGTTGAAGGATAAAGGGAGTCGTGCCGCATCCACCAGCCAGGCAGGTGTCCAGGCAGGATGAGAAATAGACAAGCCCAGGGGGGGTTGCCTTCCAGGGGACTCCAGCCCAAGGAGGGATGGGACTCAGAAAGCCTACTGACCCTGCTGGAGTGTGGTGTGAGCCCCCCCTGTTGATTATGGTGGCATGTACTCTCTTAGAAGAAATTCCCCAACAGCCTGGGGATGCTGGAACCTTCCACACAAGGTGACAAGCAAGCAGCTGGCTCAGGCCTTTGCTCTACTGCATATTAAACATGGTTTTGTTTGCTTGAATGCTTGGCCTAATAATTGCAGGCGTATCTGAGATTGGGGCTCATGCCTGCTCTGTCTCCTCAAACTGCAGCTTTTACCTTTTAATTCCTTACATTTTATTTAAAAAGCAGAGAGAGATTCTACCTGCTGGTTCACTCTGCAAATGCCTATAAGAGTCACAGGGCAGAAACAGGTCAAAGCCAAGAGCCAGAAACTCCACTCAATTCAGGTCACATATGTGGGTGGCAGGGATCTAAGTACTTGAACCATCATCGGTCAAGGCCTCGTTTATCAAGAAGCTGCATCCGAAGGGGAGCTGGAACCCAACCAGGCATCCCGGTATGGGGTGCAGACATCCTAAGCAGCATCCTAACTGATGTGCTAAATGCCCACTGGAAGGTTTTGCCTTTTAGTGTGCCTTGTATCCGGCTGAACGGCGGTCATGACTTGCAGTGGACAGCACTTCAGTGAAGTAGTGTTGAGGTATGGGAAAGACCCGGGAAGTCTGTGTTTAGATCAGGTTACAGGGAACCTGTGCCCAGGCCATCTCGGGTGTCTTCTACCCCCAGCAAGGATAGGCCAGAGCACCAGAGAGGCTGGCATCAGGTAACCTTGCTTTCCCAGAGGCATTGTGAAGCCCCTAGCAGATCTGGCTCTGGTAAGGCAGTTTCCCCCAAGTTCAGGTTTTGTGAAAAAGAGCTTGCTCTGGTGTATTTCAAAATGGCTCATTTTCTCCTCCCCTGGCTGGAAGACACAGGGTTTGTTGTTGTTGTTGTTGTTGTTTATCTTCACCATGAGAACTTGGTCCAGATTTTGGATCCCCATGAGGATGGGTACCCCCCTGAGCGATCCTGTCTCCCACCTGTACACATGGAGCCCCTAGCATCCTATAGTCACAGTCCAGGTTTCCCTACCTGGTCCTGGATCCCTCAGAGGCAGGATGCTCAGATGCACCTGTCAGTCTCTCTAGCAGGGCAGTGATTGACCTGTGACCTCACTTCTCTTAGGGATCTCACAAGAGCTCCTGGTGACTCAGTCATTCATTAGGCGACTTCTAAGCTCCTTAGGAGTCCGACAGGAAGCCAGATGTCATTGCCAGGCAGCACAGGGACATTCCTGTTTGTGGTCCCCAGGATGCATCCTGAAGCAGCTTTCAAGATCACCTGGAACTGCATCATCTCAACTGCTCTGCTCTTTCCTCCCCATTGGGATTCCACCTACATAGATGGTGGACAAGACAGGTCCTGGGGCGGGTGGGCAGTGGGAATGGAGGTGTGGAGACCTTTGTCTCTCATCCCAGTGATGCCTTCAGTACCTTGGGACCAGAAGGGGTTATGTCAGCTCCCCAAGGGGCCTTTTCTGGCTTGATGGATTCCAAGTTTCTGGAGCACAGGGCAGATAGCAGGTGCAGGTCACCAGAGAAGCTGCCACACCCCCACAGTCCCACCTCATTCTTGCTGCATAGCCTCCACCATACTGTGCTCCCCAGCCTGTCCTCAATGGCTCCAGGGCCCCCTCTGCTTCCTCCTCAGCTTCTGCTCCCATCAGCTGCTTCCACGATTCTCCAGGAAACGTGTGGGTGGGTCAGGCACAATCCTGGGACCCTGTGTTGCCCCAGCAGCAGGAACCTGGTCCTGATTATGTAGAAGAACCACTAGCAAGCACACAGCCCCAATATTTTCCAAGGACCTCTCCCTGGATCTCCCAGAGAACCCAAGCCAGTAGGGTTCTCCCAGGTCACCAGCTCCTCCCCACACACCTGTGCCACCTTTTGCATCTTGATCTGCATACAACCCCTCTAATAAAGGGCCTGGAGAGAAGGCAACTTGGAGGACTGACAGGCTTTGTAATAATCCAGCCTACCCACTCGCTTCCGCCAGGGCTCCAGCAAATCCCAGGGAATTAAAGCAAGTTGAGTGCCTAATTCACACCAAAAATAGCTTCCGAAGCAATACTCCCCAGATGTCTGAGCGGAGGTGGGGCAGGCGGAGGCTGAGAGAGCCGGAATCTGGATTTGAAGCTCTGGAGAACAGCTTTGCTGCAGGGACCAAAGGGGCGTCTTGTGAAGAGTACAACAAATGGCATGGCCCCTGCAGAACCTGTCCCTCTCGGTCCCACCTAACAGAACCCCAGCACCCGCTGCTGCTTGTGCCAATCTGCCCGTTATGGAGGTGTCCATGGATAAATAAGTCTTGGGGTTGTCTAAAGATCAGCGAGAGGAAGGGAAATCAACAAAAAAAAGTTTGCCTATTGGTGACGCTTCTTGAAACTCCTTGAAGATTCATACTACCGTTTTCTCTGCCTTCATGTGTGTCTGAAATGATCTCATCATACAACTTTACAAAGACTCCAGAAGAAACAAATCCTCAGCTGTCTTTTCACCCATGGTCATATTAATTATTTATATCTGACAATTAGAAATATTAGATACAGGCAAGGGAGCCTGTCTTGCAGCCAACAATGACAGCCTGCTGTTTTTCAATTGCACTAATTAAAATGAATGTTCAACCAAAAATAATTATCAAATAATGAGTGCAGCTTAAAAAACACCCTACATATCCAAATGATTCATTGGCACCGCCTTCATTCAGCAGAGTTGTTCTTGAGCTTACGGTAAGTGACGGGAAGGTACACAGTTGAAGCCTGCTGCCGTCATCTGAGATCCAGCTTTAATGGGGTTATTTAACCCATCTGCCACTCATCTACAAAATCAAGTTCGAATTAGATGAGATGGTGTTTGCTATGCAGCCAGCCCGGTGCTTGATAGGAGCTCCATGAATGGCAGGTTGCCCCGCCTGCTCAGGCCCTGTGGGTGGGGCAGACGAGGTGCCAGACCAAGTCCTTGCTCTGTAACTATCTGACCAATGACACTGGTATCTGTCTTTACTAAGACATGCTTGTAGATTGCGGTGGTAAAGATGCTGCTTAGAGTGCTTGTATCACAAATCAGGGGGCCTTGGCTGAGTGCCCAGCTCTGCTCCCCATGCCAGGTCCCTGCTGAAGTGCACCGCTAGAAGCACCCGGTGGTGGCCCCCGTAACTGGGTTCTAGCCACCCATGGGGGAGGCCCAAACCAACATCTTAGCCTGGGCTTTAGACTGGCCCATCCCTGACCATTAATGGGCACTTGCTGAGGAGTGAATTATGGTTAGAAGCCTGTCTTTACCTTTCAAACACTTTAAATAAAGAAATAGTTTTTTAAAAGAAAAAGAAAGTTCAAGCATGCACAGTTTCACCCACCAGAAGGCAGCACAGTGGAAGCCATTGTTGACTAACCAGCCAACATATCCTCCCCTATTCCCCCATGGTGGCCTCCGTCCCAGAGGTGAGGAGTTAAGACTCGCTGTCTGAGGCACCGTTGGGCCTGTGATAGCTATGGGTCACAGTTGTGGTGCTGAGGAAACAGGCAGACATTGGCTGGGCATTGTGGAAGCTTCCACCCCTCCCTCCTCCTGCTTCCGCGTGGCCAGCCATCTCAGCACCATAC